TTTATGGCTGAATAGTATTCCACTGTGTGTGTGTGTGTGTGTGTGTGTATTTATCACATTTCTTATCCAGTTGACAGTTTTGATTCCATATCTTAGCTATTGTGAATTGAGCTGCTATAAACATGGGGTACAGATAACTCTTTCATATGCTGATTTCATTTCCTCTGGGTAAATTCCCAGGAGTGGGATAGCTTGGTCATATGGTAGATCTATGTTCAAATTTCTGAGGAATCTCCATACTGTCTTCCATGAGGGTTGTACTAGTTTACATTTTCACCAGCAGTGTATTGGGGTATCTTTTCATCTACATCCTCACCAGCATTTGTCGTTTGTTGATTTCTGTATGAGAGCCATTCTGACGGGGGTGAGATGAAACCTCATTGTGGTTTTGATTTGCATTTCTCTGATGGCTGGTGATCCTGAGCATCTTTTCATGTGTCTGTTGGCCATTTGTATTTCATCCTTTGAAAAATGCCTGTTTATATCTGTAGCCCATTTCTTACCTGGATTTTTTTGTTTTGTTGTTGAGTTTCTTGAGTTCTTTATATATTCTGGATATTAATCCTTATGAGATGTTTAGCTTCAGATGCTTTCTCCCATTCTGTTGGTTGCCTCTTCACTTTGTTGAATGTTTCCTTTGCTGTGCAGAAGCTCTTAGGTGGATGTGATTGCATTTGTCTATTTCTGCCTTTATCGTCTGTGCTTCTGGGGTCTTATCCAAGAAGTCTTTACCTAGGCCAGTGTCTTGCAGTGTTTCTCCTATGTTTTCCTCTAGTAATTTGATGGTTTCAGGTTTCAGTTTAGCTCCTTGATCCATTGTGGGTTGATTTTTTTTTTTTTTTTTTATAGTGTGTAAAGGTAAGGGTCTTGTTTCACACTTCTGCATGCAGAGATCCAGTTTTCCCGACAAGGGTTGATTTTAGCTTGTTTGTTGGTTTTATATGTGTGGATTATTTTCTGGGATTCTTAATCTGTTATTGGTCAAGATGTCTGTTTTTGTGCCAGTGCCATGCTGTTTTGATTGTAACTATCCTTAGTGTCTCTTGAAATCTGGTTTTGTGGTATCTCCAGCTTTGTTTTTATTGTTTCAGATTGCTTTAGCTATTTGTGGTCTCTTGTGTTTCCATATGAATTTCAGGGTTTTTGTTTCTAGATTTGAGAAGAATGTCCTTAATATTTTGATTGGGGTCACATTGAATCTATAAATTGCTTTGGATAATATTGACATTTTGATGATATTAATTCTTCCAATTCATGGACATGGAGGATTTTTTCATTTTTTGGTGTCTCCTCCCATTTCTTTCTTTAATGTTTTATGGTTTTCATTGTAGAGATCTTTCACATCTTTAATTAAATTTATTCTTAGGCACTTAAAGTTTTTGAAGCTATTGTGAATGGGGCTGGTCTTACAAGTTCTTTGTCAGCCATGGCATTGTTTGTGTATAGAAATGCTATTGGGCTTTATGTGTTGATTTTATATCCTGCAACTTTGCCAAATTCTCTGAGTTCCGGTAGTCTTGGTGTAGAGTCTTTTAGTTTCCCTATGTATAGGTTCATGTCATCTGCAAAGAGGGATAAATTGACTTTTCCCATTGATATACCTTTGATTTCTTTTTTCTTGCCTAATAGCTCAGGGTAAAACTTCCAGAATTATATTAAATATTAATAATGAGACTGGGAACTCCCTTGTCTGGTTCTGGATCTTAGTGGAAATGCTTCCAGCTTTTCTCCATTCAATATAATGCTGGCTATGAGTTTGTCATATATTGCCTTGATTGTGTTTAGGTATCTTCCCTCTATACCCAGTTTGCTGAAGGTTTGAAAGGATATTGTAAAATTTTATCAAATGCTTTCTTTGCATGTATTGAGATAATTATATGATTTTTATTCTTTAGTTTCTTACTGTGACGTATCATGTTTATTGATTTGTGTTATGTTAAGTCATCCCTGTATCCCAGGGATAAATTTCAGTTGATGCAGATGGATTATCTTTTTGGTGCATAGTTGGATTTTGTTTAGTTAGTATTTTGTTGATGATTTTTGCATCTGTATTGGCCTATTGTTCTCTTTCATTGTATCTTTCTCTGGTTTTAGAATGAAGGTGATGCTGGCCTCATAGAACCAGTTTGGGAGAGTTCCCTCTCTTTTAGTTGTGTGAACAGTTTAAGATGAATTGCCGTGGATTTTCTATAAAAGTTTGGTACAATTCAGCTGTGAAGCCATCTGGTCCTAGGCTTTTCTTTTTTGGGAGGGTCTTTATTACTGATTGAACCTCCATCTTGGTTATTGGTCTTTTTTGGTTTTCTGTGTTTTTGTGCCTCAGTTTTGGTAAATTTTATATGTCCTGAAATCTATCCATTACTTGTAGATTTTCCAGTTTGTTGGCATATAACTATAGCCATTCCTGATTATTATTTTTAATTATCTTATAACATCTTTTTTTTATCTCTGATTTTATTAGTTTGGATCTTCTCCCTTTGTTTTTTGGTTAGTTGGGCCAACAGTTTGTTAATTTTATTTTTTCAGAAAACCAGCTCCTCATTTCACTGATCTGTCATTTTTTTATCACAATTTTGTTTATTTTCTAATTTTTTAGTATTTATTATCATTTCTTTCCTCTTATTTTGGAATTGTTTTGGTGCTTGTTTTTCTAGGTCCTTGAGGTGCATTGTTAGATCACTTATTTGATACCTTTTCGATTTCTTGATGTAGGCTCTATTTGTATAAACTTTCCTTTTAACACTGCTTTTGCTATATCCTGTGGGGAGCAACTCGGACTAGACTAAGTTACTGGAATTAAGACTTATTCTATGCATCATCTGCTCTCCCACAATATGGCACTGGGAGAGGAGTAAACAGCTTCTGTGCAGCTGCCTCCAGTTCGACCAATAAACTGCAGGAGCTGCTTCTGATTGGAGGAGAGCAGCGTACTCGGCGTGTGGGTAGCAGAGTTGGGATTGGTGGAAGAGGACTATAAAGGAGGAGAGAGACAACATGCACCAGGAACATCTAAAGGGAACATCCGAATAACATCTGAGCAGCCCCCGAGAGAGCCGGCCGGCGGTGTGCTGCTCCCCCGTGGAAGTGGGGAAAGTGGCAGGGGGAGCCGCCCTTCCACAGAGGTGGAAGGATCGGCAGCCAACCCAGGAAGGACCAGCAGCAAACCCGGGAAGGGCCGAGCAGACAAAAGAACAGTGCAGGGTCCTGTGTCGTTCCTCCGCGAATGGGGGAGCGATAATATCCATAAGTTTTGATATGTTGTGTTGTCTCCTCCATTTGTTTCTAGGAACTTTTTTTATTTCCTCTTTTGATTTTTTTTCTGTGACCCACTGTCCATTAATGAGCATGTTGTTCAGTCTCTATGTGTTTGCATATGTTCTGTTGCTTGTGTTGTTAATTTCCAGCTTCATTCCTTGTGATCAGAAAAATATATATGGTATGATTTCAGTGTTTTTGAATTTGTTGAGACTTGTTTTATGGCCTAGCATATGTTCTATCCTAGATAATGTTCCATATACTGTTGAAAACAATGTTTATTCTGCAGCTGTGGGATGAAATGTTCTGTAGATATCAATTAAGTTCACTTGGTCCATAGTGTAGATGAACTCTGTTGTTTCTTTGATATTTTTTAATATTATTTATTTATTTATTTGAGAGGTGGAGCTATAGATATAGAGAGGGAGAAACAGAGAGAAACGTCTTCCATCTGATGATTCACTCCCCAAATGGCCACAACAGCTTGAGCCAGGCTGATCCAAAGCCAGGAGCCAGGAGTTTCTTTTGGGTTTCCCATGGGCCTAAGCACTTGGGCCATCTTCCACTGCTTTCCTAGGCCATAGGAAGATAGCTGCATCAAAATAGGAGCACTGGGACTTGAACTGGTGTCCATATGGGATGCTGGTGCTGCAGGTGGAGGCTTAGCCCAAAAAACATCACAACGCCAGCCCCTCTTTGTTGATTTTTTTGTCTAGTTGATCTGTCCACTGATGAAAGTGGGGTGTTGAATTCCCCCATACTGTTGTATTGTAGCCTAGGTTTCCCTTTAGATCCATTAACATTTGTTTTAGATAGCCAGGTACACTGGCATTGGTGCACATACATTTACTAGAGTCAAGTCTTCGTGTTGAATTGATCCCTTAATCATTACGTAGTGCTCTTCTTTGTATCTTTTAACAGTTTTTGTGTTAAAGTCTATTTTATAGTCTGATGCAAGGATGGTTTCTCCTGCTTGTTTTTGATTTCTGTCTGCATGGAGAATCTTTTTCCATCCTTGCACTTTCAATTTGTGAGTATCTTTGTTGATGAAGTATGTTTCTTAAATCCGTTCAGCCAGTTTGTGTGTGCGTGTAAACATAGATAAATACATACAGATATCTGTGTATCTATATCCAGCCTAGCTTCACGTTCCCATAGTTCAGAGTAAAATTAATAGACTTTTGCTTTATGGAATAGCTAATTAATAGTACCAGTTAGTTACCTCTGAAGTGTGCCGCTTCAGAGCGCCTGATGTCTTTCCCCATCAACCAAGCTAACAGGACTGCTGCATTCTTGGTTTAGCATGTGTCGCTTCGTTGAATGAGATTCATCCTAAACACTGAAGTAACCCATACAAGCTCACAAATTTCCCAGTTAGGCATCATTCATTTCACCTTGACATTTCTGTGAACTAAGCATCTTGTCAATGATTTTTGGGTGGTAAGGTTAGTTGTAGTACAGTGATGCTGTTAATTTGACAGAAAAATCATCCGTTATAGTAATTGAATAGTGTGGGAAGGTTTAAAGGCATTATTTTATATCCATTTGATGGAACAGTGTACAGTCATTAACTGGATAGTGTTTTGAAGACTGGCAATGAAAATGTTTATACTTTGTTACAGGTGAAAGAGACTAGTCCCTATATGGTATCCCATTTAAAAGTATAATCATGAAAAAATACATGCAATGCATGACACAGTACATGAATGATCTTATTAAAGAAACATAAAAATTTTCTGTTTCAGCTAATCTTCCAGTGCCAACGATTGCAGCAATTGATGGACTTGCTTTAGGTGGTGGTCTTGAATTGGCTTTAGCATGTGATATACGAGTAGCAGGTGAGAATACATCCCACTGAAGATACATTCTTTTAAAGTAGTTTGTGTTTACTCTTCAAGTGATTCCTAATATTTTGTTTTGTTTTCTGTTGTTCAGTAAACACCTTTTTCAATGTGTAGCTATAATTCTAAGAATATAATGGTGTTCCCTACCTCCCTTTCCCCTGCCTCCCACTCTCGCCTTCTCACTCTTTTCCTTTTCTTTCTGTCTTGTTTTTAGCTTTTGAGATAACTTATTTTAAATTTTCATTACAATAGAAGGCTTAGTACTTCATCAAATAAGTTTAACAAGTAAAAACAAAACTTTAGTAGGAATATAGGCAATGGCTCTAAGCAATGATTGAATGGAAAAATGACCATTTCATCTGTATATAATCAATTTTTAAGTAATCAAAGATCACTAAAACTATCATAGTATAACATTCTTAACCATTGATTTGACAAAGATATAAAACAAAGTTTTATAAAACTATATTTGCAGCAATACTGATAAAGATTGAAGTCATACCATGTTTATTCTCAGGACATAAAATAATAAAACTAGAAGTCAACAACAAGAAGAACAATAGAACACTCATAAATACTTGGAAATTAAACAACATGATACTGAATGATACATGCATCATTAATTAAACTGAAAAGGAAATCAGCCAGCGCCCGTGGCTCACTAGGCTAATCCTCCGCCTTGCGGCACCGGCACACCAGGTTCTAGTCCCAGTCAGGGCGCCGGATTCTGTCCCGGTTGCCCCTCTTCCAGGCCAGCTCTCTGCTGTGGCCAGGGAGTGCAGTGGAGGATGGCCCAAGTCCTTGGGCCCTGCACCCCATGGGAGACCAGGATAAGTACCTGGCTCCTGGCTTCGGATCAGCGCGGTGCGCCGGCCGCAGTGCACCTGCTGCGGTGGCCATTGGAGGGTGAACCAACGGCAAAGGAAGACCTTTTTCTCTGTCTCTCTTTCTCACTGTACACTCTGCCTGTCAAAAATAAAAAAAATGGAAATCAAAACTGAAAATATAACATATCAAAGCCTGTCAAAAAATTAAAAAAAATTAAAAAAAAAAAACCTGTGGGATATACCAAAAGCAGTATTAGGAGGGAAGTTTATAGCATTAAGTAAGAAAGAGAAATGTCTCAAATTAATGATCTAATAATACATCTTGAGGACTTAGAAAAACAAGAACAGGGGGCCGACGCTGTGGTGTAGAGGGTAAAGCCACCACCTGCAGTGCCAGCATCCCATGTGGGTGCCAGTTTGTGTGCCAGCTGCTCCTCTTCTGATCCAGCTCTCTGTTATGGCCTGGGAAAGCAGTAGAAGATGACCCAAGTTCTTGGACCCTGCACCCACGTGGGAGACCCAGAAGAAGCTCCTGGCTCCTGGCTTCAGATTGGCGCAGCTCTGGCTGTTGCAGCCAACTGGGGAGTGAACCAATGGAAGGAAGACCTCTCTCTCTCTCTCTCTCTCTCTCTCTGCCTATCCGTCTCTCTCTGTGTAACTCTGACTTTCAAATAAATAAATAAATCTTTTTAACAAAAAAAAAAAAAGGAAAAAGAAAAACAAGAACAGACCAAACCCAAAATCAGCAAGAGATGAGAAATAATAAGGATCAAAGCAGAAAATAAATGAAATTGAAACTAAAACAGTAATATAAAAGATCAACAAAACAAAAAGTTGGTGTTTTGAGAAAAAAAACAAAGTGAATGACATGGCTGCGTATTGAAAAAGTCTTCATAATTTTTTTAAAGAAACATTTATTTATTTATTTATTTGGAAGGCAGGGTGACAGAGAGGAGACTGAAAGGGAACTTCATCTGCTGGTTCACTCCCCAAATGGTCACAACAGTCAGGGATGGGCCGGGGTGAAGAAGCCAGGAGCCCAGACCTCCATCCAGCCTACCACAGTGGTGGCAGAGTCCCAAATACTTGGGCCATGTTCATTGCCTTCCCAGGTGTGTTAGCAGGAGCTATATTAGAAGCCAAGCAGGTCGGACTTCAACCAGCATTTTGCTATGGGATGCTGCTGTTGCAAGCGGCAGTGTAACCTACAGTGCCACGGCAGTGGCCCCCGTAATTCAGTTTTTTAATACTCTTATGTGACTGTGCTGTGGGATTTGTGGTTTTTTGTCTCTGTGTATGTTTTCCTCTTTCCACTTTAGGTCCCTTTTTCTTGCAAGGCAATTAATGGGTTGTAAATTGAAAAGCTAAGGTACATCGGATCTGTTTCTGAAGGAATGTGGATTCTGTGAGTTAGGATACGGGATGTAGTCTGACCACATTTGCATATGTCAGTAAAGGAATAATTAAGTTGTTGTAAAGTAGCCATGAAAACAAACATGAAGAGAGGCAGCCTGTCCAGCTATCTGGACAGTAAGCCAGTTGCCAGAAAGTAACAGGGCAGGTGGTCTGGAGATGCTGCTGTGGCTCATGGGAGACATGAAGGTGTTTGATCCGGGGGAATTCTGGGTAGCTGGCGCATTCGTACTTGTCAGACTTAGCTTCCTCCCGATCCCGAATAATGAATGGGATCTGAACCTTCAAATATGACTTGGCAATATCAGGTTTAGTGAAGTGATCTTTCTTCATTAGAAAGAATTCACTGCTAAGCAGTTTTTAATAGAAAACGTGTGTGATTCTGCCAGTATGTCACATAGCGGGTTTACTTATTTCCATGACTAAGTATCTTTTGAAGTGGTTCTTAAAAGAATTTGTGCCATTAATTTCATTACAAAACAGAGTGTTTTTAATACATCTCATTTTACTCACTTTGCAGGTTGTCGTTTGAGTATAATGATTTTAATTTTCTTCCTTTTTTTTTAGCTTCTTCTGCAAAAATGGGTCTCGTTGAAACAAAGTTGGCCATCATTCCCGGTGGAGGTATGAGTGTTCACATCAGTGAGAGGCGACAGCACGTTCATGGGAAGGGCAGTGGGTTGGTGGGAGGCTGCATTCTTTGCTTCTCCGGCAACGTCCCTGTCGCACACGTGTTCTTGGTTAGCCCAGGCAGATGATGCCTTAGCTGTTGATTGCGTTAGCTGTTGCTTTCTCTCACCGCTCTTTCCTGTGATGTTCTGTGTTACTTCTTAAGTTGTTAGTAATGGTTCTGTTTACGCTGTCATCACTGTTTGGGTCTGGTTTCTGAAAGAATTACACAGGTATCTTGCAGCTTTTGTGTGTGCATTTGAATTTGCCACCTTCCTGAGAGCTTCATGCTGTTGTTCACTCCTTTGTGAAGGAGGAGAGAGCGTTTCCCAGGCGTTGAGCCCTGGACTTGTGTTTCTGTGCAGTGGTTGGGGTCAGTGGGCAGCCTGAATTTGGTGCTGAAGACGTGTCGTTTCTCTTTCCTGTGAAAGCACAGGCGGCCTTCTTGTATTGGAAGTCATGTAAGAAAGCAGCTTCCTAACGTTGGTGCTGACGTCTTACATTGCCCAGTAGATCTGCATTTTTAGCTCTTTCGCTTCAGAGAATTTGGAGATACTGCATTTTGTGATTTTTTTTTCAAAAAGCATACTTAAGGATACATACTTTTTAAAAGATTTATTGAAAGATGGAAACACACACATACATACACACACACAGGTATCTTCTGTTCACTGATTCATGAGAGAGAGAGAGAGAGAGAGAGAGAGATCCTCTGTTTGCTGTTTCACTTTCCAAATGTCCGCAACAGGTAGAACCACGCTATGCTGAAGCCAGGAGCCAGGCACACCAGGAGCTCAAGTACTTGAAATATCACCTACCACTTTCCCAGGCATATTAGCATGGGGCTGGATCAGAAGTGAAGCAGCCAGGCCTTAAACCACTACTCTGATAGAGGATGTGGGCATTGTAAACCAGCTGTGTCACTTGCCAGATTCAAGTAACTTTTCTTGGTTCATTTTACGTACCACAAATAATAATTTCATGTATGAATGAAATAATAGTAACAATGTAAAAATTGCAGTGCTGAACATGGCAGACAGGTTTGTATGTGAATAGGTTGAATTGTATGTTTAACCTTATTATGAGAGTATTTATCTTGATTAGGGTATGTAGATAGAAATTAAAACATAAGTTGAATTGAGATTGAAGACTGTTCAGGTCAAAGTGTAAGAAAGACTTAAGTTATTTGTAAGACTAAGTTATCTACTTTTTTAATCCATGAAAATGCTCTTCTTGTAGGCTAGAAGCATTTACTATCTACTTCTTCTGCCATGCCTACTTTTTTCATAGTAACTAATGAAAATGCAGGATCTCTGAGAAAATAGATCCCCTTGAAGAGAATTATCAGATGAGTAATATGTGAAATAAAACAGAATTTGGAGAAAGGGTGGCATGATATGTTTCTGAAATCTTTTTAAGAAGCAACCATTTACTGATACTTAGTTGCAGCTAATCCTAGAAGATAGTAGCTGTAGTGGATTGAATAGTGCTACACTCCATCCGGGTTAAGGAATGTCAACCCAGAGCCTGTAGATGTGACCTTATTTGGAAAGGAGTCTTTGCAAATAAAATTAAGTATTTTTTTTAAAAAAAGTTATTTGTTTATTTTGAAAGGCAGAGTTAGAGAGAGAGAGTGAGTTAAAAATCTTCTGTCTGTAGGTTCACTCTCCAATGGTCACAATGGCCAGTACTGGGCCATGCCAAAGCCAGGAGCCAGGAGCTTCATCAGAGGCCCAAACACTTGGACTATCTTACACTTCTTTTCCTAGGCCATTCGCAGGGACCTGGATCAGAAGTGGAGCAGCCACGTCTTGAACTGGTGCCCATATGGGATGGCGGCATCACAAGCAGTGTCTTTACCCCACTATACCACAATGCTGGCTCCAAGTTAAGGATCTTCAAATGATGCCCTCTTGGTTTCTTTGAGCCTTACACCTGATGACAGAGGTCCTTACAGAGAAAACACAGACAGAGTAAGGGAAGGTGATGTGGAGACAGAGACAGGGAGTGACGGCATCTACAAGGCAAGGAATGCTGCAGCTCCCAGCTGCCACCAGAAACTGGGAGCAGAGTCATGGCCCTGGTTGTCCCTTGGTGCTTTCAGAAGGAAATAGCCCTGCCGACACCTTGACATCCAAAGCTGTGAAAGAATAAACTTCTGTCTTTAAAAGGTACTGAGTTTGTGGTAGTGTTTTATAGCAGCCCTAGGAAATGAATGTAGTCACATTTTAATGATGCATAAGTAATTGTTTTTGATGAGGGTTTAGGATTGGAGTACAATGAGCCTGGTAGTTTTGGATATCTACTAGGTATTGAATGTGAAATGTTTTACATTAAAACTACTGGAAGGCAGAATGGTTGTATGAAAATAGTATTTGGGTTGATTAAATGAAAAAATTGATTATACCACAGAAATGGGGTGAAAGCTTTTTTTTTCTTTTACTTGTTTTAAAGAAATGCATTTATTTATTTGGAAGGCAGAGTGACAAAGAGGAAAGGAAAGAGAAAGAGATGTTCCATCTGTTGGTTCACTCCCCAGATGTCCCTAGCAGCCATGTTTGGGCCAGGCTGCAGCCAGGAGCCAGGAACTCCATCCAGGTCTCTCTTGCAGGTGGCAGGAATCCCAGTATTTGGGCTGTCATCTGCTGTCTTTTAGACACATTGGCAGGAAGCTGGATCAGAAGCAGACTGGCTGAGGCTAGAAGGTGTATTCTAGCATGGGAAGTTAAAGTGCTGTGCTGTGCTGTGCCCCTCGCCCTGCAAAAAGGTGGTAGCTTTCATTTCTGCCATCTTCTTTCATTGTATCACTGTGCCATGCCATGTGAGGTTCAGAAGAGAGAATTTTATCCCCAGTATCCTTAAGTTCCGTAGCTTCCTCTCCAGTAGTGGCTCTGGTAACCAGACAGCACTAAGTTCTGTAGATGTGATCGGATTTGGGTTATATATTCTCATGAATAGAATCGTGAACTCTAGAATGCCGGTGGTAGCAGCTGGGAATGGCTTGGTGTAACGGGGCTGCAGAGGCTGACCTGTGCCTCGAGTCCATTCTGCACACAGAGGCTGCCCGTGAGTCTCTGCGTCCCATCTGGGGCACTTGTGGAGCCATTTTTCCAAACAGAAGTCAGCCTGGGTTGTGGGCTCAGTGAAACCTAATAAGGGAAATGGTGTACTGCGTTCCAGCACTGTGTTCCTGTTGACCCTATCGGTCATAGTCAGGACCCACGTGCTGATGTCCACTTACTACCTCACTAGGTGTGCTGTGGGGTCTGAGAGCCCCACTTGATCGCGCATTCACAGATTTGGACTCTGCCTTCTCTTCCATCTTGGGAGTCAGTGGCCTTGATGCACAAGTTCCAGATGTAAAGACAGCATGTGCCATCATCCATCTAACCTTGATCCCAGCAACGTGGATTCCCTCTTCTTCACCACTCAGTCCAGCCAGGCCCTCTCGGGTTATGAGATCTCTATTTCTTTCTTTTTTTTTTTTTTTTTTTTTGACAGGCAGAGTGGACAGTGAGAGGGACAGAGAGAAAGGTCTTCCTTTGCCATTGGTTCACCCTCCAATGGCCGCCGTGGCTGGCGTGCTGCGGCCGGTGCACCGTGCTGATCCGATGGCAGGAGCCAGGTGCTTCTCCTGGTCTCCCATGCATGTGCAGGGCCCAAGGACTTGGGCCATCCTCCACTGCACTCCCGGGCCACAGCAGAGAGCTGGCCTGGAAGAGGGGCAACCGGGACAGAATCCGGTGCCCTGACCAGGACTAGAACCCGGTGTGCCGGCGCCGCAAGGCGGAGGATTAGCCTAGTGAGCCGTGGTGCCGGCCGAGATCTCTATTTCAAATGAGGCCGAAGACCTACTGGCAGCTGCCCATGACGACTCATCCGTTACCAGTTATCTGTTATCTATTATCTCCAGTTTGAAGAAGAACTAGAAAACAATGTGCTATTTGTGGCTGCTACCTACATGTTCCTTGGACCATGTAAGGACTGAACTGTCCATAGGAAGGTCAGGTCATCTCATTAATTAACACCATCTTCAGCAAAAAGAACTTTGAATTGTTCTCAGAAGCCTTTAGCATGTCTCTGCTGCTGCTGGCCTATCCCAGAATCACATGCCACTTGTAGTTGTGCTTGCTGGCTGTGCTTCCAACACTCACAAACAGGATACCCTGTGGTTGCAAGTTACCAGTACCCTGTTGCAGCCTCTGGCTCAGGCCATTGTTGAACTAGAACACACTAAACCTACTGCTTTCAGGGCCAATGTCCTCCAAAAGATGTCTTTCAACTATGGTGGGGATGTGTTTGAATTAAACTTCATGAATGCCAAATTTTCCAGTGGTTGTTATGGCTTCTCTGTCAAGGTTGAAGGTGACAGCTGTCACATTGCAGATACCTTAGAGCCCTGAGTCAAGATTGCCTGCTGCTTGTCATGGGGCAGCAGGTCTGATAGAGCTCCTCAGGGCCGGCCTGGGGAGCTCAGGGGCCGAGCGGGATGATGAGTGTCAACGACAAAGGAACCACACCAGAGCCGGAGATCAGTCAACGCCCAGGGCGCAGCCGGGTTCTCGACTTTATTGGGAGGGGAAGAGCTTTTATAGACACAGAAAGGGGGCTGGCTGTCCAGGGCACAAGGCAACCCAGCCAACCAGCTGAAAGGTAAGGAAGGACACCAGCCGGGCACGCCCTCAAGGGCCTATCACAGCCGAGAACTCACACTGTTCACGATTACAGAAGTCTCCTGTCAGGCTAGGCACCTTCCCGGGGTCATCTTAGATCGTTGGAAACGCTGTCACTGGGATATGGAAGTGCGGCAAACTCGAGCAAAGGCTTGGAGGCCTTGTCGAGGGAAGGCTTAGCAACTTTGTTTCCTTTTCAGTTGAAGCCCCCCCCCCCCCCATTGCCACTGAAGTTGGCATCAAAAAAGTTGATCTTTCTGCCCAAAAACCACCTGCGTGACCTACCGAGCCAAAACCAAGGGCACGTTCTTCACAGACAGCCACCAGAGCTTCACCTTGTTCTTCCGGCTGTTAGATGTGAGCACTTGTGTTGAACTCAGCCCTCACCAGACATTTGTCTGACTCTAACCAGAAGACTGGCGGGAAATGCTGTTTGTCACTGAGCTGGACAACAAGAACGTGTACAAGTTTAAACTGGGTGCCTTGAAGACAGATTGAATCTGACTCAGCCTCTGGCACATACACTCTGCTTCATCAGAGATGCTGCCTTTTTTTTTTTTTTTTTAAGATTTATTTATTTGAAAAGTGACAGAGAGAGAGAAATAAGGGGGGAGGGAGGGAGAGAGGAAGAGGGAGAAAGAGAGAGAGAGCTTCCATCTGCTGGTTCACTCCCCAAATGGTTACAGTAGTTAGGACTGAGTCAGGCTGAAGCCAGGAACTCCATCTGGGTCTCTCTTATAGGAGGGGCCCAAGTGCTTGAATCATCCTCTGCTGGTCTTCCAGGTCTGCTAGGCGCACTAGCAGGGAGCTGGATCAGAAGTAGAGCAGCCAGGACGCAAACTGGTGCCCATGTGGGATGCCTGTGCTGGAGCTGTGAGCTGCTGTGCTACGACACTGACCCTGGAGATGCTACCTTGAAGAACCCACTCCTCTGGGAAGTGGCTGCTGTGGTCGTCAGGTTCCCAGAGGAGGAAGCTCCGCTGACAGTCTTGTCCCAGAATCTTTTCACTCCAAAGCAGGAAATTCAAGCGTGAGCCTGAGAGGAGCCCCCGACAGTGGTGTCCAGGACGTTCACAGCCCTGATTTCTCTCGCCCTTGCTCCTGCCCTTTGCTCTGTGGATTCAGACTGATGCCAGTGCCTCCAGCTCCACTAGCGTGCTTTTCTTGTCATCTGGGACTCGTGTGTGTTTACTGGACTCAGCTCAAACAGACCCTGAAATACCTGGCCATCTTGGAAAGTGTTGTTTCTGACTGGCAATCAATGCCGGTGCTGTAGGCATTCAAGAGAACAGTACATTCGTTCCAGAAGAAGGATGGAGATTCCAAAAACTGAAATGCATGTTGAGAAATGGAGTCAAGAACAATTCACAGTGTGAAAAGAAGAATGCAAACTATTTCATTTAACAAGAAACAAGCTGAGATTGTGGTTACACTTTGGCTTGCTGGGTTTCAGTTTCCCGGACACGAAACAGATATCTGTGAGCCCATATACTCAATTTCCTGGACAAGGCTCCCCAGCAGGATGTTGTGGATATTCCAGACTTACCCAGATGTTGCATTTGAAAGCTGAAGTTTAAAAGTAACTGTTTTTGAATAAAGAGAATGATCACAGGGAAAATGTATTTGTCACAAAAATCAGAATGCTTTAACATTTTCCTGAATATTTATAAAGGATAGTTTTCTTTTTTTGTTTTTCCTCCTGAGACTGAGGAATATATTTCATTTGCTTCTCTATTTTAATTTTTAAAAAAGACTTATTTATTTGTTAGAAAGGCAGTATGACAGAGTGAGAAGCACAGAGAAAGAGAGATCTTCCATCCACTGGTTTACTCCCTAAATGGCCACAAAAGCTAGAGCAGGCCTAGGCTGAAATCAGGAGCCGGGAGCTGCATCCTGGTCTCCCACATGGGTGGCAGAGGCTTGGGCACTTGGGCCATCTTCTGCTGCCTTCCCACATACATTAGCAGGCAGCTGGATCCAAAATGAAGTAGCTGGTACCCAAACTAAACAGGATGCTAATGTCACAAGCCTTGGCTTAACTTGCTGCACCACAATACCAGCCCCCAGAGTTGCTCCTGTAATACCATGAAGATTTCAAGTTTGTACCTCTTGGCATTTAAATTAAAAAATGCATCTGATTGCATATGAAGCCACATATTCATGTTTAGATTAAAAGAAAGGCACATAGAAGTTTTGGTTCCCTTTCACATTTTACATTTACATTGCGTTTGAGAAACCAGCAGAGTAGTTAAGGTTTTTTTGGCTTTTAAATGGTGATGCTTTTGTTTCATTTGTTTCTTAATGTGAGAAAGTCAGAGAGACATACAGAGATCTTCTGTTCATTGGTTCACTCCCCCCTTAAATGCGCACAACAGCCATGGCTGGGCCAGGCTGAATCTGGGATCTGGGAACTGAGTCCTGGTCTCCCACATGGTGGGCAGGGACGCAGCTACTCGAACCATCACTGGTGCCTCCCAGGGCGCCCATTAGCAGGAAGCTGGAATAAGCAGTGAACTGGGACATGAACCCAGGCACTCTGCTTTTGGATACATGCATTCCACGTGCCGTCTTCACCACTGGAAACTTCCATCCCAGTAGGTACGTTTTAACTGAGATTTTGTGTATTACCTAAAGGAACTTTGCTGAAATTTTTATTCAGAAAAATCCTCTTCTGTCCTATCCATAGATTGTTTCACTCACAGATATTTCTGCATCTCCATTTTTCCCCTTCCCTTTACCTTTCTCGTAGGTGATCCTCCTGTGAAAAGATTGCTTGTTTTTTTGTTTTAAATTTTGTTTCTGAGTAGGTGAGTTTTGTCACGATCTCTGAGGCTGTGACGTTTCTGTTAGCTGACTGGAAGATCTTCCTTCAAACACAGTGAGCAGCACTTGAGTTTCCCCCCTTCCTGGTGGATCTCTTTTGGTGCCAAGAAGATGCTTGCCTTCTGTCTCAATGTCCCTGTGAACAGCCAGGGGCGTGATCTGCTGGGAAGGTCTGGCCGAGACCAGTGGTCTGGGCTTCTCTGTCAACTGCCTCTGCTCTTTCTCTTACTCAGCAAGAGCGACTGCTGACAGCCCGGAGATGGGTGGAAAGTAAATGGGGAGAAGTCAGATGTGAGTTCAGTATGGTGGGAAAGATGAATGCTTCCTTTCCTTTTTTGTTATTATAGAGAACATAAGTATCTTTGGGTCAATACATGAATCGCATCCCGTCTAAGAAATGTAATTCTGACAAATTATGCTTTTGTATGTATGTCCGTGGTTCTGTCCTGGGCAGCATTGGCAGGGCAATCCCAGCGAAAATTTGCCTCCCAATTTGAATTCCTGTCTGTCTGATGGAGACAGAAGACTTAATGTGATGCTGCTGTTGATCCTGTCGTCTTTTGACCTTTGATGATACCAGTTTACAGGGAAGCTGTGTGAGGGTACGTCAGAAGGTCTGGAATTTTAAAAGATGCACATTTTCTGTGAATTACAGGTTCCTTGTATTAATCAGCTTTGTGTTACTGCAGCAAAGTACCTGATGCAGCTGAGTTAAAGAGATAAGGTTTTTATTTTAGCTCAGTTTTTGGAGGCTCAATGAACACATGTCATGGCAGATGCTTTGTCTCTGGTGAGGGGATGACAGATTGTAGAAGGCGAAACCCACGTGAAGGAAAAGTCACATGATGAACCAGGAAACAGAGACTTTGGACCCAAAGTTGGGATTTTATAACTCTCCTGTTGTGCGAACTACCTTGTGAGGGCATAGACCCACTAACCAAAGACCTCCCACTAGGCCCACTTCCTGAAGGTCCCCACACCTCCATGGGGACCATATCTTTAACACCTGGACCTTAAAGGGTACCCAAACTTATATCCAAACATAGCACAAACAATTGATCAGAAAGTAGCCTTCAGTTTTCTTGAACTTGAACAAGAACAGCAATATAATTATTTGTAAGGTATATTGTATAAATTGAATAAGTTGTTATAAAATAATTGAAGAGATAGCAATATGTAGTTTAAATTAGAATTTCAATTTCAGTCTTTATTAGAAAATATTTTGTTTATCATCAAATGATTATTGAAAGTATATAGTTTAATGAAAAAAAGATACAAAGCAATATAGAAACATTAAAGAAAATTGAGCTCCATTAAGTAAGAATTATGTCAGATAGAATTAAAAGATAGAACGTGGTTAACTGTCAGGTAGTTGAACAGACATTTCAAACTAATTTAAAAGGCAGTAAAACATATCTTTATACCCTGCACCAAGATGTGTGCTTCCCACTCTTTTTCTTGCTCCACTTCCCACATCCTCTCAGGACCACATGTGGCATAGCAGGCTAAGCCACTGCCTGTGACACCATCCCATGCTGGTTCATGTCCTGGATGCATCGCTTCCATTCCGGCTCCCTAGTGGTGGCCTGGGAAAGCCGTGGAAGATGGCCTAAGTGGTTGAGCCCCTGCTAGCTATGTGGGAGACCGAGATGGAGTTCCAGGTTCCTGACTGAGCCCTGGTCATATGGCCATTTCAGGGGTGAACCAGCAAATGGAAGATTTCTCTTTGTCTCTCCCTTACTCCTTGGAATTCTGACTTTCAAATAAATAAATCATTTAAAAAAACCTTTGTCTCATAGAACCATTCAAAGTAAGTTGCGTTTTCATAACAAGGTGCACCTTTACTGTATATACTTATTATTTTTTTAAGATTTATTTTATTTATTTGAAAGGCAGAGTTACAGAGAGGCAGAGGCAGAGAGAGAGAGAGAGAGAGAGAGAGAGGTCTTCCATCCACTGGTTCACGCCCCAGATGGCTACAATGGCTGGAGCTGAACTGATCCAAAGCCAGGAGCCAGGAGCTCCCTCCAGCAGCCCAAGGATTTGGGCCATCTTCTACTGCTTTTCCAGGCCACAGCAGAGAGCTGGTCAGAAGTGGAGCAGCTGGGACTCGAACTGGTGCCCACATGGGATGCCAGCACTGCAAGCGGCGGCTTTACCCACTATGCCACGGAGCCGGCCCCTGTGTATAATTATTAAATATAGGTTGTCACCACAGTGCACAGATATTGAACCCGTTCCTCCTGTGTAACTGAAGTTTTCTGTTTTTTGATCAGCACTTCCCCCAATCTTCCCACCCACCCAAATGCCAATTTATTTGAAGAATCCAGTGATTGTCTTGTTTAGGCTTACACATTCTGGATTTCACTTAGCATTTCCTCATGGTTAGGTTTAGGTTAAGAAATTATGCCAGGACTATTTCACAGGTGGTACTGTGTGTTTCATTATGTAGCTCTTGATGGGAGAGTCTCCTGTCCTTGGTAATGGCAACTTTCATTACTTGCCTATGGTAATGACTGGTTGTGGATATACTTGAAGTGTTCTCTTGGCATCTTTACAGAGAGAGAGGAGATGGGAGCACCCCGGTTTCATAGAGAGGGAGGTTCCCCAGTCTTGCTCAGGGGCACTCTCCCCATGTCAGGGCTCTGGGACGTTACTGCACATCCCTGTCAGCCGTGTTCAGTAGCAAGCAATCTCCTGGCACATTTTCCACTCTATTTTAAGGCATGTCTGTGAGGTGATGACGGAATTTTAAATCCTGTGAGTGTGTTGTCCTGAACACAGTCGTCATTTTGGAAAGCTTTGTTTATAACCTTTGTGGAAATTCTCTTAGCATTTACATCAGAACTTGAGCTTATTTTTTTCAATATCCTCAGCTGTGACTCATCTCTGTCCTGTGAGGATGAATTTGATTTTCATAAATAGCAATAGATCTTTCTGTGCCAAATCTAATGAATAAGGTCATACTATTTCAGGAAGAAGAAAACTTTAACAAAAATAAGATTGATTTTCCTAAGATGCTTGTATAATGCCAGACATTTCGTCCCCGTTGTGAACACTGGACAGCACTGTTGCGTTCAGTGTAGTGTTTCCCGTGGTGACTTCCTTGAGAGCGACCACTTGCCAGCTGCCTGAAGATTTGTGTAGTTATCATATACACGAGCTTATGCTACAGAGTCTCATTTCTTTATCCATTAGACTGCAGTTTAGTAACTGGTTCCTTACATTTAGCTTAGGGCGATTGAGGAGTTGCCGACTGCGCACTGCGTATGGGCCACTGGGGTAGTTGCTGTGTATGAAACAGACAACATGGACGTATCAGCACTGCTCCCTTGGAGTTGGCCCTCTGAAATCTGGTGGGAGAGATGAGCCGTGTATACAAGTGTCATAAATGCTCTATTATTGCAATGTTTAAGTGAACAGGAATAAGGCAGTTTGAAACCAGGAATCAGGAGTTTAGAGAACATAGCATGGATTCTGTTGGCCCTCACGATGGAAGACCTGATAGGTTTTATTGGCAAACCCTATGGCATAGGTCCCTGGCTACTCCTTAGAGCCCGGTTGCTACTGCTGCTTCCTTTGCTCACACTGTGGTCCAGGTGTATTTGCTCACTTAGCAGATGTTTGTGGATTGGTGTAGACACTGGGGCTATAGCTATGAACAAACCAGGAAGGATTCCAGCCGCGTGCTGCTTACATCCCAGCACAGGAGCAGTGGACATGGCGAGTGATCAAGTGTGTGTGATGGCAGAAGTGGGAAATGCTGTAGAAAAATAAATAGGGAAGGGATCCAAGGGAGTGCACTTTAAAATGAGGAGTTCAGTACAAGTCTTAGTGAGAAGGTATGTTAGATAAGACTTCAAGGAGTTGGTGAGAGGAAGAGTGTTTCAGGCAAAGGTACCTCCCCGTAAAACATGCCTGAGGAATTATGCTTGGAACATTCATCCTATCACTGTGACTTCAGCAGAGAGGAGGAGGAGGGCGCCAGTGGGAATGTCCCAGAGGCAGTAGAGGAGTCAGGTGACACAGGCACTTATGTATCCACTGTAAGGATTGCAGCTTTTACTCTCAATGCTCTTGTTTTTAAAGGTTCATTGTGATCTCTGTGCGAATAGCAATAACAAGGTTAGAAGTAGGAAGCCTGTTTTTAAAAGATGGAGCTAAGATAATTTCTTGATGTATTGGATAGGGAGTTTAATTAAAATTATTTTTGTTAAAGATTTATTTGAAAGTCAGAGTTACAGAGAAGCAAGCAGAGAGAGAGAGAGAGAGAGAGAGAGAGAGGTCCTCCATCTGCTGGTTAACTCCCCAAACGGTTGCAATGGGGCCAGTCCAAAGTCAGGAGCCTGGAGCGTCTTCTGGGTCTCCCACATGGGTGCAGGGGCCCAAGCACTTGGGCCATCTGCTGCTTTCCCAGGCCATAGGCAGAGAACTGGATTGAAAGTGGAACAGCTGGGACTGGAACTGGCGCCCAAATGGGATGATGGCGTTGCAGGTGGTGGCTTTACCCACTACGCCAAAGCTCCAGCCCCATGGAGCACTAGCCCCATAGATGGGGAGTTTAAAAGAGAAAGAGATAGAGATGTTAAGAACGATTCAAGGGAGGACTGGTGTATGGTGTAACCAGTTAAGCCACTTCCTGCAACACCAGCATCCTATATGGGTGCCGGTTCGAGTCCTAGCTATTCTACTTCTGATCCAGTTCCCTGCTAACGTTCCTGGGAAAGCAATAGAAGATGGCTCAAGTCCTTCAGCCCCTGCACCCATACAGGAGACCTAAATGAAGTTCCTGGCTCCTGGCTTCCACCTGGCCCAGCCCTATCCATTGCAGCCCTTTGGGCTGTGAACCCGCGTGTGGAAGATCTCTCTATCTCTGCTTCTCTCTGCAACTCTGCTGTTCAAATAGACAAAATAAATCTTTTTTTTTAAATTATGACTCAAAAGACTGGCTCAAGTAACTGAATATAGAATATGCATTTTCCTGAAAAATGAAAACTGAAAAAAGCATGTTTGGAAGTAGCATTCAAGTGTATTGTTTTAGACTTGTTTGGATAGAAGTCATCATTCAATATCCAAATGCAGTATTTTTTTTTTTTGACAGGTAGAGTGGACAGTGAGAGAAAGAGAGAGACAGAGAGAAAGGTCTTCTTTTTTCTGTTGGTTCACCCTCCAATGGCCGCCACGGCTGGTGCACTGCGGCCGGCGTACCACACTGATCCGAAGCCAGGAGCCAGGTGCTTCTCCTGGTCTCCCATGTGGGTGCAGGGCCCAAGCACTTGGGCCATCCTCCACTGCCTTCCTGGGCCACAGCAGAGAGCTGGCCTGGAAGAGGAGCAACCGGGACAGAATCTGGCACCCCAACCGGGACTAGAACCTGGGGTGCCGGCGCCACAGGTGGAGGATTAGCCTATTGAGCTGTGACACCAGCTCAAATGCAGTATTAATCAAGTAGATGGTCATATAAATGTGAAGATTAGAAGAGTAATCTGGGCTGAAAATAAAAATGTGGCATTTATTTTTTTCCTGGAATCCACTCTCCTGGTGTAAATATATCTTGAAATCTAGAAACCGATATTGGCATGGCCTGAGCAGACTCCTGGAGAAAACCTTTATCTAGGTCATGCTTAAGAAACAGCAAAACAGATTTCCTCTCAGTATTTGCAGTGGCAACCAGGAACCAAAACATCAGGAATTCTTTCTTTTTCTTTCTTTTTAAGATTTATTTATTTATTTATTTGAAAATTTCAGAGCGAGAGAAAGGGAGAGACAAACAGAATCTTCCCTTCACTGGTTCACTCCCCAAATGGCTTCACTGGTCAGGGCTAGGCTAGGTGGAAACCAGGAGTGAGGAGCTTTTTCCAGGTCTCCCATGTGAGTGCAGGTACCCAAGCACTTGGGCCATCTTCTACTGCTTTCCCAGGCCATAGCATAGAGCTGGATCGGAAGTGGAGCAGCCAGCACATGAACAGGTGCCTATGTGGAATGCCGGCACCCTAGGCGGTGGCTTTACCTATCATGCCGCAGCGCTGGCCCTAACAACAGGAATTCTAAGGGACGGCAACTTCTTCATTCGGAACTGTGCTTCCCTCAGTCCCTCCACCATTTGACCCTGGACACTGCTATAATCACTGGGAATGAAGAAAACAGCTCTAGTGATTTCTGACAGGGGAGATAGTGAAGAGAAAGGAGTCAGGAAGGTTATGCCATGGCATTGTTTAAGAACTCCTGGATGGGGCTGGCATGGTGGTGCGGTGGGTTAAGCTGCAGATACAGTGTCAGCATCCCATATGAGCGCCAGTTCGTGTCCTGGCTGCTCCACTTCCAATCTGGCTCCCTGCTAACAGCACCTGGGAAAGCAGTGGAAGATGGCCCAAGTTTCTGGGCTCCTGCTACCCATGTGGGAGACCCAGAAGAAGGCCCTCGTTCCTGACTTCAGCTTGGCTCAGCCCTTGCCACTGTGGCCATTTGGGGAGTGAACCAACGAAAGGAGGATATTTCTGTCTTTCCCCTCTTTCTGTAACTCTGTCTTTCAAGTAAATAATATGAATCTTAAAAAAAAAAAAAAAGAACTCCTGGATTCATCCCTGAATTGTGCCTGTGTCTCTGATGCACAGTAGCAGACCAAACAGTCTGAACAAAGTTTGTTCAGTTAACAAACTAAATGCAGGTTCAAGACTGGTCAAAGGCATCGAAAACATAATCAACCTTGAAATCACAATCTGCAGAATGCTACTTAGAATGTATGACTCTAGTACAGTCAAGGAGACTGAATGTTACAACAAAAACTTCCAGATCAAAATCACTGTTTCACCTGAATAGGAGATGACAAACAAATTCCAACTGAGATGATGATGATGGAGTTACCTGACAAGATTTTAATTCAGCTCTTCCAAAAATGCCCCAAGAAGTAAGGATGAAAGATTTGAATCTTCTATTCACCTGTTGGTGACAGAATGTATTGTCCCAGGGTTGGGAGTCTGGCCACGAACACAATGCCAGACAGATGTGATCCTGACAAACCTGAGTTCACAGCCCCAGGGACAGAGCGAGCCAGCAGGCCGCGGGAGGAGGGTGGAGTACCTGCCAGGTCCTGCAGGAGGACGCAGTTGGCTTGTGTGGGCAATTCTGTGGCTGGCAGGGGACTGCACTCTGCTACCCATGCGTAAGTTGGAGCTGTGCCTGGTTTCCTTGATGAAGAGGGCTGTTTTCGGGAGTAGAGTAGGGAAAGGAACTTGTTAGATCATTTGTGATCCTCCAGTTTCCCTAGAAGTTAAAGTAGCACAAAGTGTTGGGCTTTAATGTTAGGTCTTACACCACATGGGCACTCTTGACACAGAAAATAAATAAAAAGGTAGAGGTTGAGCATCCATTATTCAAAATGATTAGAACAAGAAGTATTTCAGATTTTGGAGAATTTCAAGTTTTGAAATATTTGCACAGACTTTACCTGAAGCTTGAATATTCCTATTCTGAAAATCCAGCATGTCACCAAATCCAAAATGTTTTCAAGGACACATTGGTGTTTAAAATGTTTATGATATCAGAGCATTTTGTATATTCTAAAAAGTTTTCATTTATTAGAGAGAGAGAGAGAGAGAGTGAGAGAGACACGCTTCCATCTGCTGGATGGAATGCCCACAACAGCCGGGGCTGGACCAGGCTGAAGCCAAGAGCCGGAAACTCAATCTGGGTCTTCCACATAGGTGACAAGGACCCAACTACTTAAGCCATCACCTGCTTCTTCCCATGTGTACACCAGCAGGAAGCGTTACTGGGACTTGAATCTAGGTACTCTACATGGAAGGTAGGTATCCTAAGAGGTAAATTTTTAACTGGTAGGCCAAACATGCATCCTGAGCATTTTGTATTTCAAAATTTTGGGTTAAGGGTGTTTAACTTATATCAACAAATAAAAATTTTAGGACTAAAAAGTATAATAGCTATAATAAAACACTGCATGGATTGAACTGCAGAATTACAATGACAGAAGAAAGTGGGAGTGGAATTAAAAGATAAATAACTATTATTCAGTGTTAACAGCAGAGAATAAGAAGAACCATAATTAAGTTAAAGAATCTGTTCTCTCCCCCTGCCACCCAGTGTTAAGAGTCAGAGGAAAATGACACATTATTTATAGGGAAACATTATGAGTGACTGACTATAGATTCCTCATCATTAACTATGGAGTCCAGAAGCAAGTGGAACAGCATTTCTTACTGATGGACGGAAAGAAGAGAATAGCAAACAGAATTCTAACTGCCAGGGAGGTGAAGGTGAAATAAGAACATCCTCAGATTACGTAAGACTGGGAGAATTTATTGCTTGTACACCCAGTGTGCTATTGGCAAGAGGATAGCACAGTAATCAGTGGAGCACAACAGAATCCAAAAGTAGACCCATACAAATATCTCCAGTTGATATTGACAAAGGGGCACAAAACATGCATTGGGGAAGATAAGTACTGGAAAAACTAGACATCCATGTGCAAAAATTAGTAAAGAAGCTCAACGCAAACCTCACAGTTGTGCACAGTTAGTTCAAAGTAGATAAATGTAAAGCTGTACGAGTCGGTGAAGCTACAGGAACTTGGATACAGTCTCTTCTGTTTCCTAGAGCATAAACCGAAGGCCTGGCCTGTGGTAGGTACTCAGTCAGTATAACTGAATGTGTGAACTGCTGCTACTGGAGAAGATGGATAAAATGAACTTCAGAGTACTTACACAAAGAAAGAAGACTGGAAAACTAATACTATGGCAATATTATTTTTTAGCTTCATTTTTCTTAAGTTAATTTTGTATGTTTTATATGTCCAAATTATATAAGTAATGAAATATAATTAATGGGTGATTTTGATTATAAGAAGTTTTGATGTCTTCCTTATAACCTCTAATGTGTTATCAGTCTTAATAGTTGTAACATTTTTGATTTATGTTTTCTTGTTCATTTTGTGAGCAGCGTGTTACTTTCCAGTTTTCCAACTGTGATCACCATAGCCTTATTTGCATTTTAATATTCTATAATGTTTGTTTTATCTGTCAAGTTAAACCAATGGTCTCAAGAATCACTGGAAGCAGCACAGACAGCAGATGTTCAGAGATCTACCCTTGTCTCAGAGACATCAACTAAGATGTGTAGGAAGTTAATAAAGGAGGTAAATGCCACCTTTCGATTAGGAAGAATAGCAGTTTGCTGCTGTCATATTTTAAAAATAAAACTGAATTCACTTTTTGTGAATTGCCCATTTTTGTGACTACTCTTTTACATCTCTGGTGCCTGTCGTACGACAGACAGACCATGAGCTCCTCAGGCCTCCATCAGAGGGCTGTTTCAGTGAGGGCCCTCGAGCATTTCTTCTGAAAACTCAACTGTCTAGTCTAATACCAGATGTCCGATTTGAATAGTAGAATCACGATTAGATTCTTCTTACTATGAAAATTAAATACACTTATGAGCTCAGCAGTAGCATTGCTGATTACATTACCTGATGATGAGCCATGTCTTCCTATGAGAATCCCCACTGTCAATAAATCAGTTCCAGCTTTTTAGTGCTTCCTCGCCTATGTTTGATATGGTCATCCTTTTTTTATTTAGTCTTCCTTATAAGTGTGTGATATCTGATTGTGGTGGTAGCTGGAATTTTCCTAATGCCTACTGTTGGTGAGCATCTTTTTGTGTACTTATTTGCCATCTGTATTTCTTCTTTGGTGACATCTGTTCAGATCTTTTACCCCTACCCCACTTTTTTATTTACAGATTTATTTACTTATTTATTTGAAGGCAGGGTAAGAGAGAGAGAGAGAGAGAAAGAGGTTCCATCTAATGGTTCTGTTCCCAAAAAGCCACAACAGCCAGAATTGGGCCTGGCTGAAGCCAGGAACCAGGAACTCCATCCAGGTCTCCCACTTGGGTGACAAGGTGACAAGGGACCCAAGAACTTGGGCCGTGTACCACTGCTTCCCAGACGCATTAGCAGAGAGCTGGTTTGGAAGCAGAGCAGCGGGGCCTCGTCCAGCATTCCAGCAATAGTGCACTGCAGTGGTGGCTGTACTGTTACCCTTTATAAAAATTGCTTTGTTTCATTTTTGAATTCTCACTGAGTTGTTGTGCTTTTGAGTGTGTAGATACAAGTCTTTTTTATCAGATGTATTCTTTGCAGGTGTTTTCCTCTTGTGATTTGATTTTTTTCATTCTCTCGAAAATGTCTTTCAAAAAGTAGATTTTAGTTTTAATGAAGTCCAGTGTTGTCAATTTGTTGTTTCATGCATTGTGCTGTTAGTATCATTTCTAAGAATTTTTTGCCCATACCAAAGTCACGGATGTTTTTCTCCTGTTTTGTTCTAGAACTTTATTGATTTGGTTTGCATTTAGATCTATAATGTGTTATTTAAAAAATCTGATTTTCATTTTTATTTGAAAGGTAGAAAAGAGATCTTCTGTCTGCTAGTTCACTTTCAAATGTCTGCAACAGCCCGGCCTGTCCAGGCTGAAACCAGGAGCCGGGAACTCTATCTGGGTCCCATGTGAGTGGCAGGAACCCAAAATACTTGAGCTATCACCTGCTGTCTCCCAAGACACACATCAGTAGGAAGCTGAATGGGAAGTAGAGTTGCCAGAACTGGAACCCAGCATTCCAGTGGGTGAGACAGGCATCTCTAGCAGCCACTACACCAAATATCCACTCGCTATGATCCATTTTGAGTCACTTTTTGTAAATGGTTCTTTTTCCATATAGACATCTGGTTGTTCCATTTTCGTTTGCTGAAAACGTTATTCCTGTTGTATGCCATGGCATCTTTTTTCAGAAGTAATGTTCCCATGTGTGTGAACTGTTGGACACTGTTCTGTTCCATTCATCTACTTGTCTATCTTGATACCAGTACTAACACTGTCTTGATTACTATATAATAAGTCTTGCAATTAGTTTTAGGCCTCTTAACTTTGTCACTGTTGTTTTTTGTATCCAGGTCCTTTGGATTTCTATATGAATTTTAGAATCAGTACGTCAAGGCATGTCAGTTTCTTAAAAAAAAAATCCTGCTGAGACTTCATTTGGGAGTACAGTCTATATGTAGATGAATTAGTGGAGACTTGACACCTTGCACTATTCTCTCAGCAATTTGTTATGTTTTCTAGTTTGGCAAACTGTTCTATAAATGTGAAATAGATTAAGCCAATTCCTAGTGTTAATCAGTTTTCTCAAGTGTGTGTCAGTCTGTCTGTCTCTCTCTACTGCCAATTATAGAAAGAGAGGAATCTGAATTTCCAACTATAATTTAATTTGTCTATTTCCTTTTTCTGTTATATTGGTATTTGCCTTATGTATTTTGAGGTTCTGGTTTGATATTCATCAGCCTTTTGTTACTACAGTGAAATACCTGAGAGAATTAATTTTCTTAAGAAAGCAGGTTTAGTTAGGCTCATGGTTTTGAAGGTTCATAGTCCTTGATCCTGCAGGCCCATTGGTTCAGCCTCTGGGATGGCCTTCTTGCTGGCACTGTCCCACGGTGGTGCAGAGTGACACAGGGGAAGAGGGAGTGTGCAAGTGTCCATGTCTGTGCTCTGTGGTCTCTTATAAAGCCACCAGAGTTCAGTCATGGGGGCTCTTCTTAACATTAACACAAGACTTTGGGAAAAAACCTTAAACATGTCATGGGCCTTTGTGGGACATTGAGCAGCCAAACTGGTATCCAAGTGTTAGCAGTTATTAAGCATAAACATTTGGTTTGGTCATATTTTCTTGATTAATTGACCTTTATATTATTATTTATAGTTTAGTTGTTCATTTGAGAGAAAGCCCATATCAGCTGCGATTGGGCAATGACATAAGCTGGGAGCCAAGAACGTAATCTTGGTCTCCATGTGGGTGGTACTTGAGTCAACACTGCTGGCTGCTTTAGCTGGAAGTTGGTATCAGGAACTGGAGCTAGGAGTGAAACCTAGGCAATGTAGTGTGGGGTGCATCTTAAGCTCTAGGTTAAACACCTGCCCACCATATATCATTTTTCAAAAGATTTATTTATTTGAAAGTCAGTGTTACACACACAGAAAGAAGGTGAGGCAGAGAGAGAGAGAGGTCTTCCATCCGCTGGTTCACTACCCAGTTGGCCATGACAGCTGGAGCTGCGCTGATCTGAAGCCAGGAGCCAGGAGCCAGGAGCTTCTTCCAGGTGCAGGGGCCCAAAGACTTGGGTTATCTTCCACTGCTTTCCCAGGCCATAACAGAGAGCTGGAATGGAAGTGGAGCAGCCGGGTCTCGAACCGGCACTCATATGGAATGCTGGCATTGCAGGCGGTGGCTTTACCCGCTATACCGCAGTACTGGCCCCACCTTATATCATTTTAAAAATGATGTTATCTCTGGTAACACTGCTTGCAATCTAGGTCTGATATTTATATAGGCATTCCAGTTTTCTTTTGGGTGGTATTGTCTGATGCATCCTTTTCTGGTTCACGATGGGAGCTCTTTTTCCCTTTATTTTTAATCTATCTTTGTCGGTTAGGCAGATGTTACTGGATTTTCTTTTTTAAATCTTAGCTCATAGTCACTACCTTTAACTGAGATATTCAAATCATTTATATTTAATATGATTATTGAATTGTGTTTAAATCTTTCATTTTCTTATTTTCTATTTACTCCATCTGTTTTTGTTCCCATTTTCTTTTTTGGCCATCATCTGGGTTAATGGAACATGTTTTTGTGGTTCTAGTTTATTTTCATTGGTTTATGCACTATTATTTTTATTTTGTCATTGTTTTGATTATTTTAGGACATATACTGTACATCTTTCATTGTGGCGCTCTACCATCAGTGGATAGACCATTTCACATATAATTATATTATAGTAAGTACTTGTATTTCTTTCTGTGATCTTTCTGCTATACTGTTACTTGTTTGACTTTCACATATTATATGCCCACATTGCATTATGATTTTTGTTGTAATGTTATTCATTAAAGAGATTTAAGTAATTAGGAAAAGCCTTATATATTTACCTCCATTAATTATTTTCAACTCTTTCCTAAAACTTCTCTGTGTAGACCATTTTCTTCACCAGAAAGGTTTCCTTGCATAGTTCTGGAGGTTAGATTTGCCCGTGATGAACTCCTTGAGCTTTTGTATGTTTGATCAAGCCTTTATTCTACCTCTGCATTTGAAAATATTTTTCCTGAGTATTGAATTTTAGGTTAGCATTTGTCTTTTTCAGTACTTTAAAGGTGTTACTCCACGGTTGTTTTATTTGCATTTTTTTCCTGACAAAGAGTCTATTATCTCTTTTATTCTCTGTGTACAATGTGTTGTTTTTTTTTTTTTTTTCTATAGCATATTTTAAACTTCTCCTTTTCACTGGTTTTGAGCAGTTTCCATTATGTTGCACCCTGGTGTGGATTTCTTCGTGTTCCCTCTGCATGGTGTTTGTGGGATTTCCTGAATTGCTGCTGTTTCCGGTGGCTTTTCACACACACCTGCTGGTTAGTACGTGTGCCGCTGAGTGCTTAAGTAGGGCCCGCTTCAGACTGTGGGAGCTACGCCCCTGCACGGCACTGCACAGACTGCAGTCACCGGAAGGGGCTCCTGGCTCCTCCTCTCCAGCTGAGAGGTCCGTGGCCTCAGGCCGGCTCTCTCCTCTCTGCTCCGTGTCCTGGAAACCCCTTGGACGCCTAAGATTGGGCAGTAGCAAGGCTCATCTCAGTCATTTCCCTTCGTTCAGCAGTCACTGACCTCTGTTGCTTCAAGTCCAGTGTCTCGAAACAGTTTTTTGGTTTCTCTGGCAGGAGGAAATGCAGTCTTCACCGCTGGCGTGGCTGGAAGAGGAAGCACTATCGTTTCTGAGGGGTAAATGCATCACCCTTCAGTTGCATGGTTTTTGTCAAGTGACTGATTGCTTAAACCAGCGAAGTTCCCTAGTGTGCACTTGGAGTGGCCGTTATTTTCCCTTTCATTGAAATCTCATCAGATGACTTCCAAGATTTATTGCCCACAGGTCAAATCATACTTCAAAGTGATGATCTCAGATTGGCATGAGTGGTCTAAAAGACCACTTTTACTCTGAAATAGATTTGCCAGTTTTTAGTTACTTGTCTTTAAAAAATAGGTACCATGTGTCAAAATTGTGGAAGAAATGAAAAAAAAATCCTTAATGTTCAAGTTTCTTTTAAAATAAACTACTTGAAAAGCAGTGAAAAAGATCTTCTATTTGCTGGTTCATTCCCCAGATGTCCACAGTGTATAACACTATTAAATTTTCTTGATTTATATTTTTATTCCTATGTAATTTATAATTCTTAGAATACTGTTTTTAAGTTTCCCAGTTACTTTTCATATTTCTTATTTCCTATTGATAATTTCTAGTGCTACCATAACATGTACAGGTAATGCTTTCTGTAGCAGTACTTTTAGGAAGTAGTTGCAGTTTCATTTTTTATAAAATAGTTACAATTAGGGCAAGTGCTTTGTGCAGTAGTTAAGAGGATGCTTGAATGCCTGCATCCCGTATTAGAGCGCCTGGGTTTTGTCTCAGCTCTAGTTCCAAGTCCAGCGTCCTGCTAATGTGCACTCTGGGAGGCAGCAGGTGATGGCTCAAGGGGTTGGATTCCTGCCACCTGCATGGGAGAACTGGATTGAGTTACCCGCTCCCAACTCTGGTCTGCCCCAGTCCCAGCTATTGCAAGCATCTGGGGAGTGAGCCAGTAGAAGGGAGATCTGCCTCTCTGCCTTTCTAATAATAATTATTTAAAAAAAAGTCACATTGACCAATTTTTGTAAATATATTCCAGGAATCTCTGTTTATAAGGTCTAATCCCACTTATGTTTTGTATCTTATTGTTTTATTTTTTTATTTTTTTTCTTGGACCTGTCAAATTTGAAAGAGCTATGTTAAAATATTCGTTGCTGTTGTCCTGTCCCTTTCTTGGTTTTTTTTTTTTTTTTTTTTTTTTTTGGTTACATGTATTTTGATTTTGTGTTTTTGGTTTACAGTTCATGGCCTTCATCAGAACCCTTATTTTCCCATTAGTAATTGCTTTTACTTAATGATCTCAATACTGAGATCCCTAGTGCCCTCTGTCCTCTACCTTGAGTTGCAAAGTATGTCTAAAGAGACGTTGTGCGAGAGTCTGTAGATGTATTCTACAGTGCACTTCTGCTAGGAGGTAGTTTTTAATCCTATTGTCACTTTGTTTACTTCAGGAAGAAAACCACAGAGTAAATTTATTTGTGGGCCAGCATCTCCCATACCCTGACCCTGTGCCTTCTAAAAGCTGTTATTCTTGTTTTTGTTTTTGTTTTTTTTTGTTTTTTTTTTTGTTTGTTTGTTTGTTTTTTTGACAGGCAGAGTTAGACAGTGAGAGAGACAGAGAGAAAGGTCTTCCTTTTTCCGTTGGTTCACCCCCCAAATGGCCGCTGTGGCCAGTGCGCTGTGCTGATTCAAAGCAAGCCAGGAGCCAAGTGCTTCCTCCTGGTCTCCCACATGGGTGCAGGGCCCAAACACCTGGGCCATCCACCACTGCACTCCCGGGCCACAGCAGAGAGCTGGACTGGAAGAGGAGCAACTGGGACAGAATCCAGTGCCCCAACTGGGACTAGAACCAGGGGTGCTGGCGCCACAGGCGGGGAATTAGCCTAGTGAGCCGCGGAGCCGGCCTATTCTTGTGTTTTGACAGTGTATATTGTGCCTGATTTTATTATCATGACACTATGTGCAAGATCAGTATTTCTTTATTTTTTCATGTAGCATAAAACTACTTTTTGTTTTGTTTTGTTTCATTTTTAAGCTTTGTGTTTCATTACTTGATTCTTTAGATGTGGCACTGGCAAAGTCATTCAGTAATTTTTGTTTGAGTTTCTCTGAAATAATCCTGACCTACTGTTGAAGTGTTTTGTTTTTGTTTTGTATTGCTTAGAAAAGAGTCCAGAACAATTTTATTAAAATCATATTGCTCTGTAGATAAGCACAGGCCATATTTTTGAGAGTTTCCAACTTAGAATAATTTATATATACAACATCCATTTTCATTCAGTACTAAACATTTGAAACTACACTGGGCAACTATAGGATATTGGAATTTTTTTTTTTCAGTTAATTCAACTAATCCTCCTTTTTTGTTCAAATTTTGAAAATATAGTGTTATTAGAGCCAACGTAATTTACATGATACGTAAAGGAAATTCATATTAAATATGAATTTAATACTGGCTTTGGTTATTATTTCTGTCCTTGTGTGGAAGAACTGTTTAAACCTTTTAATGCATTAAACTGGGCTTTAGGAAGTTATTTTGGTGCCAGTCTCAAAGGACAGATCGCTGTTCTTTCCTACCCATGAAACTAGGTCGCTGATGCTTGGCACATCCCTGTGACACGGGATTCGTGTGACGTTCAGGTGTGCAGAAATGGTGATATGCCAGCAGGGCCACTTTTCATTTCATGAGCATAATTTCCAGTGCCCTGGAATTGATGTATTCCTTGACCTGTTAATGATGACACTGGGTCACTAGCACTTCAAAGGCAGAGGAAGCCTCTGGAAATGACCATAGTCATCTCGTTAGGTGATGAGTTACAGGGTTTCTGTTCAGCCTGGGGGTTTGGCCTGTTGAGGTGGTTGACATTTTAGCAAACGTGGGTCTGACGCACAGTGGGATTCCCTGCGTGAAGTGGTTGAGAATACTCCTCTGTCATCTCTAATGGACAGTCGTCAGTTCTCTGAATCTGTGGCTTCCATCTCCACAGAACCAACCATCCTCAGCGTGAAAATATCCTATAAAAATGCGTCTGCACTGGACAGGTACAGACTGTTTCCTTGCCATTATTCCATAAGCAGTACAGGACAGCAGCTATTTACAGTGTGTGAGGTGTTGTCTAGAGATGATTTACAGGTACAGGAAGGTATGTGTGGGAGGTTCTGTGTAAACACCACCCCACTGTGTTGGGGGAACTTGAGCACCTACATGTCTGAGCATCCCCGGGGTCCTGGAATCAGCCTCTCCCCGTTACTTGGGGGACACAGAGACAACTGTAGTTTGGGATTGTGTTTTCCTTTGAGCAACTTTAAACATGCTTAGGGAAGTTTTCTGTTCTCATTCACCAGCAAGAAACAAGTGCTTGGTAGATAGGAACTAACCACAAGGTTCCTCTAGAATTAAATGAACATTGGTCCTATAATATTGCATGTCTCAAATGAACTATTTTCAAATCAGTCATGTATTGGTTTGGTGTTTCAAAAAGATGATGAGAAAATACAAACTACCCCAAAATCTCTAACCTGTCCCATCTCTCTGGTGATTTGGGGCCTTAGCGGGGCTCCTGGTTCGAATTCTCCCTCTCTGGCCTCGGGAAAGTGCGTTGCAGGTCTGTGCTTCTGTGTTCGAGTAGTTGTGCATATTTTATAATGGCATTGTAAGGACAATGGGAATGAGTGCTGTGCAGAGCTTTGGAAGGGTTCTGGCAGATACCCACCGCCCATCTGCGTAGTGTAGGAGCCATGGTTAGTGTTGCTCAGTGTGCTTTATAAAGGTCAGCGTTCTTTTTTGCCATGTTTGTTCCTTTCTTGCCCAGAAAATTGTTATTCTCTTCCCTGCAGTGAGGGGTACTTAGTTCTATTCGGTTTCCCCAACAGGGCAAGTTCTAGGAAGAGTATCATTCTGAACTACTCTAGAAGGAAATTCTCATAGGGTTGACCATATCCTGTGTAATTTAGCCTGGCATAATTGAACAGGAACTTCTAAACTGTAGATTAGAAGGTAAAACTGCTAAAGGCAGGGTATGGATTTGGGGCCTTTTCTGTGCTCTAGTTTATGAATTTCTCTGTTTAGGAGACTTTTTTCCCCTTGTGTTATGTACCGCTCACTTTCATCTTATTATTGTTAACAGAAAGACAATTTATTTAATGTGAATTAAGTCTTGTGTTCTTCAGACATATATATTGAGCTGCCAATCTAAGTTTACCTCATTCTTTGATAATTTCCTTACACTTGAATTTGCTGTTGTGAAATTTTCACTAATTATTTATTCATAAGCCCCCAAACCACTATTGGGAATGTGGTGGATAGTAAAGTCTTGCTAAATCTGAACAGATTTGGATTTTATTTGAGTGTACTCAAAGCGCGTCACTAGATAGTGAAATAAGACCCTGATGGACATCATGTCCTCTTGCAGTTTGCAATTACATCTGTCTGCTGTGTGGTGGTGTGGTGTTCTGGCACCCCGCGTACCCTGAGGGAAGGCACTGCTCCATTTTGTTGACTCCTGTATCAGCAGTGCTTGCTAACTGATAGGAGCTTACAAATGTTTGTAGAATGAACCGGATGATTTTTTCCCCCAAGTTTTGTATTTTTGAGAATTTTAGAAGGCATACCCAGAAATTGTGTTTTATGTTCTTGGAGTTTATTTCTACAGAAAATACATATGTTGTTCACATTTGGGTTGTGCTTCTGTGTTTTTGTTACAGTTTGTTTTTAAATAGGCATCATTTCAGTGCCCTTTGGGGACAGATGATTCCGATTGTGGGGAATTTGTAGAAGCTATTTCTCCACTGTGAATAAAACAGGCCTTGAGAGAGACAAAGGAAAGGTTAAGATTCAAGAGTTATTTTGTGACTGCACAAAATTAAAGCTGCGGGAAGTGTCAGAGAGCCTCATACCTATTTTAAATACAAATGACTGAATCTTCATGAGTCAGTGACTGCTGTGGAAATGGAGCCACCCCGCTCTCAATGCCTGGTGTTTGGGTTTTGGTGTAATTATGTTTTACTGATTTACCTCATAAATGTACACATATGGGTGTTATATTTGATGCCTTAAATATTTCAGTTATAGAGACAGAGAGTTTTAAAAATACTTCAGTTTGTACCTCTGTTCTGTGCAACCTTAACTAAAATATAAATTTCTAATGTCTGCTGATGTTACAGAAATCTAAATTGCTGTTCAAATCTGTGAAATGTAGCATATTGGTTTTCAGCTGTTCTCACAGACAGCGCTAGTTACCAGCCACTTAGCTGCACTTCCGCACTAGCCAGTTGGAGAAGAATCCTTTTGTCCTGCTCTGTAAGATCTCAGGGAAGAGCCTTCTCTTTGGTGTTTGTTAAGTGAAGGGCTTGGTGAGTGGTCTTTTCATCCTGGCCTTGGCAACACCTGTACCCTTCTTTCTCAGCTTCTGGGTTGCAGCTGTGTGGGGTGGGGGCGAGGGGCTTTGTCCCCTTCCAAGGCACCAGTTCTCTGGCTTTGGCAGCAGGTCCTTACCAGAGGCGGGCATCTGGGGCATAGCTTGGGGCTGCAGTCCTGGCTCATGGTATCTCTAGCTTCCTGCCTGTTTTTGTTTGTTTTAAATACAATTGTTCAATGTTCCTGTTAATTTAGTAAGCACCTTTTCTGTGTGAAACAGCCAAAAGATGGTTTCTATTGCTAGCTGCTGGAAAGTTTGGTAATAACTATCCGTTTTCTACCCGCCTACATTCAAATCAATGAGTGTATTGATGCTAAAGCCAAGTGTTACATGGGCTTAGAGTTTTGCTCTCTGGCGCAGCAGGTTAAACTGCCTTCTGCAGTGCTGACATCCCATATGGGTGCCAGTTCTTGTTCCGGGTGCTCCTTTTCTGATCTGGCTCTCTGCTGTGGCCTAAGAAAACCGTGGAAGATGGCCTAAGTGCTTGGGCCTCTACACCCATGTGGGAAACGTGGAAGCTCCTGGCTTCATCCTAGCCCAGGCCTGGCTGTGCAGCCATTTGGGGAGTGAACCAGTGGATAGAAGATCTCTCTCTCTTTCTCTCCCTCTCTCTGTAATTCTATCAAATAAATAAATAAATCTTAAAAAAAAAAAAAGAGAGAATCTTGCTGCTGCTTTTCCTACAGAGGATGTTGTATACCTACTATGACTTACCTGATTTCCAGTGAAGCATTTTTGTTGGATTATAGGTCTGGGAGCTGTGTTCATCTCTGTCAAGTATTTTGTCAAGCGCTTCTATGTACCAAACACTTGTGTCTGGAAATACAGCAGTGAACAGAGGAGACAAAGACACCTGCCTTCGTGCAGCTTGCTTGCAAGGAGGTGTGCAGATAAGTAACAGGTTAGATGCTGTTAATGTGACAATGAGAGAGACTGAGCACGTTAGGGAGGCGTATGAACCGAGGGGCCATCAGAGTGAGGGTTGAGATGACCTGGGGGGACAATGAGATGATTGTGATGGTCCTGAGGCAGAGCGGGCAGAGCGTGGGCCCTGGTCCCATTTCTGCTGGGACAACGCACAAACCCAGATGGGAGCAAGGCTCACAGCTTGGCAACAGCCTTGACTCCTGAGATGTCCGGGTTGGTGCAGGGTCCTGACAGGACATGTGGAAGTAGCGTCTTGGACAACCACTGTGGGCAGGCATTTGGCTCAGGGGTTAAGAAGCCACTGAGATGCCTGCATCCCATATCGGAGTTTTTGCATTCGAGTCCTGACTCCACTTGAAGCTTCCTGCTGATACACCACCCCCCTCTCCCTGCAAAGCAGCAGGTGATGCCTGAAGTACTTGGGTCCCTGCCACCCACAGGGGAGACCTAGAATGAGTTCTGGGCTCCTGGTTTCAGCCTATCCCTGCCCTGGCTGTTGCAGGTCTCTGGGCAGTGAACCAGCAGATAGGAAGATCTCTCTCTGCCTTTCAAATAAATAAATAAAAATTAGCTCATATGTCCCTTCATTCTATATGTGGGATACCTATAAAGACAAATTGAGCAATAAATACACCACTTATGACATCTTTGAAATAAATAATGTCATTGAAATATTTGCAGAATTGAAAACTTGAGGCATAATGAGTGAGTGAGTGAGTGAATAAGTAAATAAGTGATCAAGTCCCAGCAGCATGGGAGCAGCCTGCATGTACTTCAGCAGGTGTAGGTACAATGAGCTTAAATACACAGTTGTAGAAGGTGGTTTTTCAAAGTACATTAGAACTAACATTTAAATACTCTACTATAAACATGGTCTATTAAATCTGGGCCATATGCTCTGTCATCCTGATGTCTATTTCAGTCGTGGCACTGCGCACAGAGAATGTGCAGGACGACCAGATTTTGGAATAGCATCATCTCGAGGGGAGCTGCTGTGTGTTTCCTTATTTAACATACAAAAGCATCTGACACCTGATACCCGCACACTAATGCAGTCCTTGTGGAAGTGGCTACTAGTTATAGATGCTTAGAAACATTGGGAAGATTCACATTTCATTACAAAAGAACTGATAGGATATTTTACTAAACAGAACAGCTATATGTATAAGTATTTGTCATAGGAAAAGTCCTACTCAGTGTTGGGTCTCCTTTCCTCACCTTTAATTTTCGCTAAATATATTCTGACTATTTATTTTTGTCAATGTGAATATTAAAGAAAGCTAAGTAGAAGCAATCTTCATGTTTTGTTGATTACATTCCAGGAAAAAAAAAAAAAGGAAGAAATGGCAGAGCATTAAGCCTGAATAGCATTTGCTATAATTACCCTGTGTGAAATATAACTGGTAGCTGTCAAGCTTTGATTGAAACTTACTGAAGGTTGACACCAGCTGCATGCATTAATTGTTTCAGCAAGCAAGTGCACATACTGCAGTTACCATTTGGAAGCACACTCATTTCTGTTTAATTTGTTGTAAAGTATTTTATGATCGAGTTTGGATGAGGGCTGCCAAAAGTTCACATTTATCTTTTGCTTTATTTCCAGCAAACAAGAGTTCCCTTAGCTAAATCCTAAGTACATCTATGAAAGTGATATTTCCAAATTGTGCAATATTGAGCACTTGGAGGAGGGAGCTCCTAAGTACCACTTTAAAGGAGTGTTTTGAACCATGCTTCTTTTAGATGCTTTTTTTGGACTCTTGATATTTATTCCTAAATATGTGAATTTCAGTTTATGAATATCTTTTAATAAAGCAACTTGATCATATTAGATTATTTATTTTTTTATCCTTTTTAACTGGAAGGTTGCAATCTCCAATGTAGTTTTTCTGTAATCATATTCAGTCTTCACAAAGTGCAGGTGTTTTGGAAAGCATTGAGACACACACATTATCCTCTATCCTATCAGTGACGCACACCAGCAGGGGAGTATTTGTGCGCCATTCACAAGTGTATTTCTGTGGGTGCACAGCCGCAGCGTTTGATCTGACAGATACTGTGTGCAGCAGCAGGCAGGCTCAAGTTCTAGTTCCTTATTCACATCTTTTTAAAAAGAATTTGCAGTCTTTTTGTTTTAGTAATAGATGCTATTTTTAAAAAAAATGTTTATTTTTATCTACCTGAAAGACAAAACAGCAGAGTAGGGGAGAGAGAGGGAGAAAGAGAATGCCAGCCATGTTATCTGAGTGTCCCATGTGGGTGGCAGGGGCCTAAGCACTTGAGCCACCATCTATCTGCTGCCTCCAGATGCATCACCAGGAGGCTGGGTTGGAAGTGGAGTAGCCAGGACCCAAACCAGGTGCTCAGATGTGGGATGTCCCAAGCCACAGCTTAATTCACAGTGTCCTAATACCCACCCCTCTTATTCATACTGATCATGATTGGAGTTAAATGGAGATTCTAGTTGGAGGTGAAACAATAGTTGTTTATTCCTTTATTGTCCCACAAATGGAATCTGTTTTAAGTCCAATGGGAACCCAAACAGTGTGCTTATGTTTTAAAGTCATCTACATGTGAATCCTGGGAAATAGTTCAGTGTCACTGGATGGTAGAGAGTATGCGTAGACATTTGTTGTTTTTGGCCACTCTGCATCTGTCTCCTTTGCTGCGAACATCCTGGTGTCCATGGGGCAAGCACAGGGCCTGTTCTCACCTGGTGGGGGTCTGTGCTTCCTCTCCTTTGGTAGAGCCTCGAGCCCCTGCACTCTGGGCTCTTCCGCAGGGCCTTCCAGCAAGAGGTGGTGCAGGGTGCTTGGACAGGGCTCTGGGCTGCTCTGGCTTCCCCTCCACACAGCGCCTGCCTTCCTCTCTGCCTGTCATCTTTGAGAGCCTCTATTGGCTTCTCCGAATCTTCCCCAAATCCCAGACTTTTGCCTTATGCTAACCAGCATCAATATTCGGTGCTTACAACCTTCATAAGAACTTCAATGGACTTAAGAAGTGAATCTTTTTAAAATTTAAAGTGAAATGTTAATTTTACTGCTGGTTCGTGTCAGTTTGAAGCCAGCTTAAACTCCATTACTGGTAGACAGTTCTTCCACAAGACCCGTGAACCCAGCCAGGTGATCCATTTGTTTCTCTTTGCAGTTAGGTTTCAAAGATTGTTTTGTACCGATCTGGAAAGCAGGCCATAAAGGGGTTTGACAAAGATTTTCTGTGTTGCTAAATTGTTTTAGGAATGTTTCCCAGTGCCCCAATATTTAAAGCGATGGTTAATCCCCAGCCATCGGTTGATGCTTTGTGTCTTAAAGGGGTAGACAAGCTAGAACAGTTCTTCACAGAACTTTTATGTAATATAGTTAGTTTATGTATTTTCACTTTTCATTTGAGAAAGAGGTAGAGTGAAGTCTTCCATCTAGTAGTCCACTCTCCAAATGCCTGCAACACCCAGGCTTAGGCCACGCCCAAACCAGGAGCCTGAAACTCCACCTGGGTCTCCCGTGTGAATGTCAGGGACCCAGGTACTTGAGCCATCACCTGCTGTTTCACAGGCTGTGCTAATGCTTGCAGCTGGATTAGAAGGGGAATAGCCAGGACTCAAACCAGCCATTCCCATACGGGGTTTCCACATCTCAAGCAGTGACTTAACTGCTGTGCCAAATGCCCACGCCTAATGTAGTTTTATTAGCATAAACAAAATGTAAACTGACAGTTTGGGGTAGAAGTAAAAGATGCCTGAATCTTTAGTATTATATTATGGAATTCACTCATGCAGAATAAAATATACTTTTAGCATTGAATGTATTTGTTTTTTATTGAAATTAAAATACTGTTGGGAGAATTATGTATTAAAAAGAAATTAAGAATGATTTGGAATGAAATGGATAATTGGAGTTCTTACATTTAGATCTGTCACTGCATAGTTTTTATATTAGCTCACTATTTTGTTTCTATCACAACTTTTCATTCTAAGCCTTCTAGAGTTAGACATTTCTGTACTTAATTCATCTTTTATGAGGGAGCTCATGAAGAATGATTTCTCAAGTATATAGAGAATGTCAGGGGCTGGCACTGTGGCTCACCAAGTTAAGCCATTGCCTGCAGCACCAGCATCCTATATGGGCAGCAGTTCGAGTCCTGGCTGCTCCACTTCTGATCTACCTCCCAGCTAATATGTCAGGGAAAGCAGTTGAAGATGTCCCAAATGCTTGGGCCCCTTTACCCATATGGGAGACCCAGGTGAAACGCCTGGCTCCTGGCTTTGGCCTGGCGCAACCCTGGCTGTTGTGGTCATTTGGGGAGTGAATCAGTGGTTGGAAGATCTGTCTGTCTTTCCCTGAATCTCTGTAACTCTGCCTTTCAAATAGATACATAAATCTTTTTTTAAAAATGAAAATGTTAACTATCAGAATCATATCACCTCATTAGGATAAACCTAGATAGAAGAATAGTCACAGCAGCATGTCGCTTTTATTCTTGTTTGTTTTGTATCATGTACGGTATCCTGGATGTATTTAAATATATCACAATTGAGTATGTGTGGCTGTACTTCAAAAGAACATTGTGAAATAGTTTGAATTGATATATTGACATAAAAACTAGAAGTGTTTTGGGATTTAGACAGCATGTCTTGGGGTGGGTGTTGGGGTATAGTGGTGGACCCTGCTTGGGAAATCTACAACCCATATTGGAGTGCTTAATTTCAAGCTCCCACTCTGTTTCCCATCCAGCTTCCTGGTAATGCACATCTTGGAAGATAGCAGGTGATGACAAAAATACTTGGGTCCCTGCCACAGACCCAAATAAAGTTACTTTTTTTAAGATTTATTTATTTACTTGAAAGGCAGAGTTACAGAGAGGCAGAGGCAGAGAGAGAGAGAGAGAGAGGTCTTCCATCTGCCAGTTCACGCCCCAGATGGCTACAATGGCTGGAGCTGTGCTAATATGAAGCCAGGAGTCAGGAGCTTCTTCCAGGTTTCCCACGCAGGTACAAGGGCCCAAGGTCTTGGGCCATCTTCTACTGCAGAGATGGATTGGAAGAGGAGCAGCCGGGACTCGAACTGGCGCCCATATGGGATGTCAGCAGTGCAGGCAGTGGTTCTTCTACCCGCTATGCCACAGCTCCAGGTCCCCCAAATAAAGTTATGAGCTCTTGGCTTTGGCTTGGCTCACCCTGGGCTTTTGTGGGCATTCAGGGAATTAAACAGTAGTTGAAAGATCTGTCTGTATTTCTGTTCTGTTTCTGTGTCTGTCACTCTGTCTTTCAGATAAATGAAACGTTAAGCGTGTCTCTGAAATGTCGTGTTCTTTTAGTGTGAGTTGGTTCTTTGCACATGCACAGGTTTGCAGACACTGTGTGCCCTCCTGATGTAGGAATGAGTTACCTGGAATGAGTTCATAATCCACAGTGTGTTCTCCTTCTGGAAGTGGTACAGGAATCTCACATGTAATGCCAAAGTCTAATTTAACCCAAAGTTTAGGTGAACACTTGTGATTTCAAGCTCAAAAGAAAACAGTGTCTCCGTGTGAATGAACTTTAAATGGTGAAATAGCAGCTTGGATTTGGAGCGAGTTAGGGTTGCTGGTCTCTGAGAAGAGGCTGACTCCACAGGTTCTTAGTTGGCTTTCTCCAGGGCATCCTCCTGCTATCCAGAGTTGATGTGGCAGATCCCAGTGGCCATCGCTGAAGTCGGGAATCAGTGGGCGAGATCGTGGACCGGGAAGTGGAACTTATGTGCAGCGTGATGTCTACAGGTGGAAGGCCAGAACCAACCAGTCCATGCTCTTGCCATTCTCCCGAGAGCTAAGGAAAAGGTGGCCATCTCCTTAAGGAAGGGAAAGTGTTCACAGGATAGGGAAAAGCAGATGGAACAGGGAGATGAACTGCCTCCATTGCCTTCTGCCCTCCTTGCCTGCCCAGGGCACCCAGGGCATGGGAGAAGCAATAGCCAAATGTCCCTGAATGTCAGCCCTTGGCTCCTTGAAGCTACTGACAGCCAGGATGGGGATTGACAGAATTACAGTTTGGGGGATAGTCTCATGGATGCTTTCCACTTGGGAGGGCTGGCTCCGGGGACAAGCAGATAAGGTCCAAAGGATTCAGGAAATGCGGGCAGCTGAAACCCGACTTGAACACCTTAAGTTAATCTACCTGGCTGTTCCAGCTGTTGAACAAGAACGAGACACTTGGAGAAGGAAGCAGAGCAGTGGTGGATGTGAAAGACCAGCCTCATCGTCAAGGTGTGGAGTTAAGGAGTCAGCCGTTTGTTAATTGAGTGACAAGTTACTGATGATGAAAGGTTACCTAGGTCTCTGAACATGTCTTTCTCTATAAAATGAATGAGGCAATAGTTATATTACAAAAAGGTTTATTTTATTTGTCATCTTTAAAAAATTCTTTATAAGCTATAAAACACCATGGATGTGGCAGTTATCCCAGCTGCTGCTAGGTTGCCTTTGTCTGGTGTGGGCATAGCGAGTTCTCAGCTTTAGTGATGTACCAGTGGGTTAAGCTAGCTCTTCCTTTTCTGTTGTCTGGACTGAAATCAAAAAACCCAGTGACCTCAAGATCTGGTTTTGTCCCTAACTGTAGCTTTGCTTTTCAAACTCCCAAGCAAAGCACACCTAAAGTGAAACATAGCTGTGGAGCGCACAAGCAGTCTGCCCCATCTGTTTACAGACCCTGAGGTCTCATTTTACAACTTTATATAAAGCTTGCTCTCTAGCCTATGCTGTGTACCATTGTACCTTGGAGACCATACATACTTATGATTAAGATGCTAACAGGGAGGAGGAGCTACTGCCTGCTGTGTTACTTGTAGGTAGAAAGGGTTGCCTGAGCCTGTGGCTTCACATGCCCACGGTTGTAGGGGCACAGACCCAACTTTTGGGCCCTTCTTGTTTAAGAAGATGGGACTCTGTGAGGCCTGGTGTCCGGATAGCTGTCTGTGACACCTTGTTGTAACAGTTATTATAAGGGGTTTGATCTGATTACAAATCAAGTGATCTGACACGTTCATTTTTACAAGTGGGTTTCTAGATACTGTGTATTCTTACCTGTGTAAGCCAGTTGCAGAGGGCTTTATTCAAAGTCTATTGTTGTAGAAGCTACAAATTAACAAATCTTACTTGCTTAAAATATTCTTGAAGACTAGCCATCAATACGTGACATTTTATTATAATCTTTCTACTTTTGTGTGTGATTGTAACTTTCGGTTCTTAAAAGGAAAAACTTTTTTTTCACACCTTGAAAGGCAGAGAGAGGGAGGGAGAGAGAGGGAGAGAGAAAGAGAGATGTCTCCCGTCTTCTGGGTCACTCCCCACATGGCTGGAACAGCAGTGCTGGGCCATGCTGAAGCCAGGAGCCAGGTCTCCCCTCTGGGTGACTGGAGTGCCAGCACTGGAACCATCACCCGCTGCCTCCCAGGTGCATTAGGAGACTTGACAGCCTGAGAGCAGTCATTCCCAGAGATGGCAGCGATACATGGGCTTCTGTTTAATGGACCCATGAAGAGCCAGCACAGCTAATGAAAAGGAGGTGCTGCTTATTACTGTGTGCTTGTGAAACTACAGCGTTCCAAGGATGAAGAGAAGATCCTAAAAGTTTTCATAGAGGAAGAGAAACAAGTTACCTGTATATGAAGACCTATTAAACTGGTGTTACAAATTTTATCAGCAACACTGGGGGCTAGCAGTGTTGCCTACAAAACCCAAAGGTAAACATACTTTTGAATCTAGCATTCTATGCCTGGCACACTATTGGTCAGATGTAACAGCAGAATAAAGACATTTACATTATGCAAGGCCTAGAAAAGTTACACCACCCCCACCCACACTCCTCTGTGTGCATTGCCTTTACTAGGAAAATAGTGGAGTGTGTACTTGGGTAAACCTAAGGAGTAAGTTGGCCTTCAGGAAATGCAAGAACCACTTAATTGGGCAATCAGAGCAAATCTTCCTAGGAATCGTGGCTTTAACTTAGATCTGGAGATTATCCGTTCCACACTGGATGGGGGGTACAAAAGGCTTCTGGGATAAAGCTGGCATCGACAACGTGGGGATAACTCTCTCTTCTGTGACCCCATGTTCACAGAGGGCAAGCAGTCAGAAGCTCCTGAAATCCCTCACCCGCCTCATGGCCTCAGTTGGGTAGAGGAAGGCCATGCTTTTAATCAGTCAAGCAAGAAAAAGAGGTCCATTTCATCTTAAAACTAGAATTTTAAAATTTCTTGGAGTGGTCAGGAAATCACGGCACCCTGGGTTCTAGTCCCGGTTGGGGCGCCAGATTCTGTCCTGGTTGTTCCTCTTCCAGTCCAGCTCTCTGCTATGGCCCGGGAGTGCAGTGGAGGATGGCCCAAGTGCTTGAGCCCTGCACCCCATGGGAGACCAGGAGAAGTACCTGGCTCCTGCCATCGGACCAGTGCGGTGCGCCGGCCTCAGCGGCCATTGGGGGGTCAACCAATGGTAAAGGAAGACCTCTCTCTCTGTCTCTCTCTCTCACTATCCACTCTGCCTGTCCAAAAAAAATAAATAAATAAAAGAGAATGAAATGGGATTTTAGCACATATCTTAGCCTGGCATTAAATGATATTTATGTATCATAGTATGGATGCCATATTGTTGATTTTCAATACTCTGAAGTAGTCTGTGATAAAGAAGCCGTGATTGCTGCTTACTTCAAGTTATGAATGGCTGTGCTCTTGATGTTGTTAAAGGAAAACTGTAAGCTTACCAACTGGGTCGTGGAAGGTCAGAGGCATTATGCATTGTGGTCCCAGTGTCAGCAAGGAACTAATAGACATTTGTATGTCTGGGGCTTAGGACCTAGGACAAGCACATCTCAGATTCTGACAGGTCAGAGGACAACTCAGAGCCATCTGTGGATTTATGTCTCCTTTAATCAGAATGGCGGTGAAAAATGCACCACTTACAGCCACTTGTCTCCAATCCCTGCCTTTGTGTCCATGGCAGCAGTTGGACTGACACACAGGCATCTACACACATCCACATGCAGGCAACTGTATACGTGTCCACATCCATGCACAGGCAACTGCACTTGGCCATGCCCCCCAGTTGCTTCTATGGGTTTACAGACAAAAGTGGCCCAGAGCCAAACCATTGCATAACAGATGCATGAGCAGCTTAGCCAAGCAGGAGGACCTGCCCTTACTGTAGACACACAGAGATATGGGAGCACAGAGATAAGGCGACATGGGCCAAAGGTGGGGGAACTTGATAAACACCCCCTTCCCAACTTCATCTCTTCAACAGCATGGACAAGTTCATTTCTCAAGTATTCTGTTTACTCACAAATGGGGGGGAGGGCTGCGGCAAGGGTACAAATACCAGAAGTACAGATGAGCTAAATTCTGATTTTTACTTTGGAAGAATCAGTAGGCATTATGTAAAGTCATTAAATCCTAAGTCCTATTGATAAAGCTTATTGCTCAGGGAATATAGAGAAAACTAAAACAACTGAAAAAAGTAGAAATTTTATCTTTGTGAGTTGGACATGGTGTGGAGAGGAAGGGTGAAAACACATAAATTCTTGTGTATTATTAGATTTCTGTGTACATATATTTTGAGAGACATAACAAAATATTTTCTAATTTAGTGTTTCACTAATCCAGGCCTATAATGAAATTTGCTGAGGAGAATTTGTCTGAATACTTGATTATGGTTTTAGGAAATAAAATATGTGAAAACTTTTGCTCTGCTCTTAGTTTTTAACCTGGCTCATTTTAGATAGCAACAGAAAAGTTGAGTGAATCATTGTTTTTACCATCATTTAACCTAACACTTTGTTTTTCCTCAAAGTATTTGCACTCTTATACTGTTACTTACATGGAGCATGAGTGCACCTAGTTTACTTTTATGTCAACAGATTTGAAATGTATTCCTGGGTCTAACAGGCTAAGGACATGGATGACACAGATGATGCTTTGTGTGGTAAACCCTGGTATAGACGTGAGGATGGAACTTACAAATTCTCTCTAAACCAGTAGATAGACATCAGTAGACATCTGCTCATTTGGAATTAACTCAGAAGTGAACTATGTATGATCTTGGCGCTATTCTCTTTCCACTCTGAAGTTAAAACTCGTGGTAGATTGAGCTAGGAAGGACACGTGGAGTACCTCAAAATGCCGATCACTGCCATAACTTCAGCAAGACAAAAGTGCCCCCTCGCTCATGCCAGGTACCCATTTTCATGGCTCTTACTTACCACTTTTGTTCCTTTCCAGTGGGGTGGGTAGTTCCTGTTTCTCTTTCCCCCAAGCGGATTTCCACTCTGTGATTATATCCAAAAATCCTGTGCTCCTTCATGTGCAGAAACAAGTTATTTTTTTGAAAAAATTATTTATTTATTTGAAAGGCAGAAATACAGAAGCAAGGAGAGAGAGAGAGGGAGAGAGAGAGAGAGATCTTCCATCTGCTGGTTCACTTACCAAATGGCTGCAATGGCCAGGGCTGGGCCAGGCCAAAGCCAGGAGCCAGTAGCTTCATCCAGGTCTCCCACGTGGGTGCAGGAGCCCAAGGACCTGGGCCATCTTCTACTGCTTTCCCAGGCCACAGCAGAGAGCTGAATCGGATGTGGAGCACCCAGGATCCGAACTGGCACCCATATGGGATGCCAGCACTGCAGGCCAGGGCTTTAACCCACTGTGCCACAGCGCTGGCCTGAAACAGGTTCTTGATTACAGAAGGGGCATCTGGCTCTACTGGCCATAGTTTACTGACCCCTGTGATGCAGCAGGTAGGAACATGGAGTCTGGAACTAGTTGGCTCTCGTGGTAACTGTCTTGTATCCTTCAGTATGAAGATCCTGGAAATGCCAGTGCCATTGAGCTTTGTGAGGGAGGGTATGGAAAGTGCTTGAGGACAGTGCCTGGCTCATAGCAGCCGCTCTGGATTTCAGCCGCTCTGGATTTCAGCCGTTACGGAAATAGGGTGCGTGCGGCTGTCAGGTTTACTCTCCTGCGCAGACTGAACTGGTGAGAGTCTCCAGTGGCAGTGCTGCTGGCCGACTGGCTGTGTTTGCAGGGAGAGGGCAGACCCTGGCGGCTCAGGGAGGTCTTGGCTGCCTCTGCTAAGTGACCCTGTAGCCTCTTCATCTTTAGTGATATAATGCTACATTAGCACTCCTCTTAGAAAATGGAGATGCAACTCAGAATCATCCCAGGTGACACTGGATTTTACAGAAATATAGCTATTGTAAATTTAATGTTGACAGGTAATGAATAGGGAGCTTCAAGAAAGTCACAGGAATTTTGTATTATCTTGTTCTGTTTTTTTTTTCTTTTTCCAAACTTTCTGAAGCTCCCTCCTATAAAGCACCCTTTAAAGATGTTAGCTGACTCTAATGTGTCTTGAAGGCATTTTGCAAAAATGATATTTATAGATCTAAGCAGCTTGTTAAATAATAAGAAGTAAGTAGGATGTAAACTTGAACCGCTTTTATGCTTCTTCAGGTGTTACCTTCAGTTGAACCTTTTATAATCTTTTTTCCCGATCTTTCATGTGTTAATAAGATCCAATAGCCATCTAATCACTTCTGGCTGTTAAAGAGAGAAAAAGAGCCCTTCGGTGTAGCCCAGTTTGAAACTCCTGTCTCATGTGCAGTCTAGAAGTATGCCTTCCTACTGTTTCTTGCCATGTTGCAGTAACAGATTTGCCTTTTGGCTTTCAGATAACTGGAAAACAGGACAAACATATTAATCAACTTTTTTCAGTCATTGGATTATAGGTAGGAGGGTCTCCAAAAAGTTCATGGAAATTATATATTGTGAAAAAGCTGTGTGCGCTTTTCAAATTTTTTCATACCAAAATATAAACTTATCTTTGAAAGTCATTGTCCATAAAATTTTTGAAATATCTTCATAGTGTAAGAATGTGATTCTGACAAAGAGTTAAACAAGAGAAGTCCTAAAAAATATCCCTGCAGCTTTCTGTCTACAGGCATTTTCTAGACGACAGTGCAAGAGAGAGGGATCCAGGCAGCGGGTGGCAGGCTCTCTGGAGCGGCTGGAGTGGGTTATGAGGGGTGTGATACAGGAAAGGAAGAGGAACACTGAGACTCGAACAGTGCTGGCTGACCTGATTTGGGCCAGGGGTGCGGCATAGTACCAATACTATGATTGAAAGATAGGTCATCAGTAAAAATCCTGCAGACATTTAAAAGATAATATGGCAATAGTATGAACAACTTTATGCCAGTAAATTCTCCAACTTTTAAGACATAGACCTACCAAGACTGACATTAGAAAAAGGAGAGAATCTGAATACTTGTGTACTTTTTAAAGAAGTTGGATCTGTAAGTCCGGATTTTCCCACAAAGAACACTCTGGGACCAGATGACTCACTGGTGAATTCTGTCAGCGTTTGAAAGAAGAAATACTGTCATTCCTACTTAAGTTCTTCAGAAATCAGAAGAGGAGAGAATACTTCCCTACTCAAGAGACCAGTATTATCTTCCAACAGAAGCAAACAGAGAGGTGGTGAGGAGAGAAATCTGTAGACAAATATCCCACAGGAAAGTAGATATGAAAATTCTTACCAAAATTTTATCACATCAAATTCAGTAAGACAAAAAAAGATCTCAGTTGTAACTCAGTCAATATAATTGACCTTATTAACAGAAAAAAGTGCTGCCATCTCAATATTTGGAGAAAAAGCATTTGACATAATTTGGTGTATTTCATGACTTAAAAAACAAAAAAAAACTTAATAAAATTAGAAACAGAAGGATGCTTCCTCAGCCCGTCAAAGGGCCTTTACATAATACCTATAACTTACATCTTTAACGATGGGAACAAGATATGAGTGTCCATTCTTAGCACTTCCATTCAGTATCGTACAGTAGGTTCCAGCCAGTTCAGGGAGGCAATATATAAGAATGATATACAACTATAGTTTTAATGATGTGTGATTATTTTAAAATATAGATGAGTGAAATTGACGTCTTTTCATTTGGTTATTTATAGTCCATGCCAATATTCCTGCTGAACTGCGGTCTTTTTACTTGTTGAACTCTTTATTTAGTGGAGCATTAAGCCTTTGACTATAATATAAATTTAAAATATGTTATCTCAAAAATTAAAAAGAGTGAGAGAGGGTAGGAGGGAAGTATCATTATATTCTTAGAATTGTATCTGTGACCTACATTGAATCTGTTCTCTTTATTAATATCACATTAACATGAGAATTGTTAAGAATTGTGTTGCAGTAATTAGCATGAATTTGCTGTGACCCTGAGAATGAATAAATTCCTTAAAAACCAAAGGGAATAAAAAAAGAAAGACAATAAAGAATTAAAATTCTGTATTCAGTGGTTGACAGTGTGGTGCTTGTGATCCTGGTATCCTGTGTTGGAGTCCTGGCCACTCTGCATCTGATCAGCTTCCTGCTGCTGCTCCTGGTAAGGCAGCAGGTGATGGCCTGAGTTCTTGGACCCCTGCTCCTCTGTGGGAGACCCAAATGGATTTTCTAGTTCCTGGCTTTGGCCTGGCCCAGACCTGCCTGTTGTAACCATTCAGGGAGTGAAGCAGCAGATGAAAAAATCTCTCTCTCTCTCTTTCTCTCTCTCTCTCTCTCTCTCTCTCTCTCTCTCTCTCTGTCTCTGTCAAATCAATAAATAAGTCTTTAAAAAAAAGGGCACAAAAGCTATTCACAGATAACATGTTCTTAAGGATTCTCTCAAAAGCACCATTATATGTGATTAGTGAGTTGAGCAGGGTCACTGGTTGCAAGGTCAGAATATAGAAGGAACTATTTCTGTGTACTAGCAATAAACATTGTAAAAGGGAGTTCAGAAAATTACTATCATTTACTAACCATGAAATATTTGGAAATAAATTGAACAAAATATATGCAAGATGTGTATGCCCCAAACTACTGAACATGGTTGAAAGAAATGAAAGAAGGCTTAAAGTAGTTACAGAAACATAAAATGTTCATGGGTCACATGGTATAATATTTTGAAGAAAACATTTATTTTTCCAAATTGATCAAATTCCTAGCAGCTTGTGTGTGTTTTGTGTGAGAGAGTGTGTGTGTGTGTGTGTGTGTGTGTGTAAAATGGCAAGATGGTAGTAAAATTGCAGTAGAAATGCAAAGAACGAGATTGGCTGAATTGTGTTGCCCAATTTCAAGCCTTGTTATAACAGAAATCAAGGCAACATGTTCCTGTTGTTAAGAGTGTGTGTGCAGAGCAGTGGAACTGAATAGAACTTCCTGAAGTAGAGTCACATGTACATGGTCAGGGACATGGCAGGAGAGGGGCTGGGGTCTGCTTTTACTCCCCTGTGCCTTCCCCTCTGAGGAGTGACAGACCTCCCTTGTCTAGGATTTACCTTGTCTCCCGCCCAGGAAATAGGAATGCCTGCAAGTTTGGAATTTTTAAAAAGCAAGTAAGCTTTTGAATCCAGTGTTATTTTCATCAGTTTGATAAATAATCATGCCTTGGCCATCCCAGAGGCTCTCCCTCACAAAGGAGCACTTGCAAGGGACTGTGACCCAGGTACACCTTCAGAAGAGACAGTCACAGCCTCACAGCCGCAGGGCGTGGAGCGCAGGCTGCCACCCGGGGCCATCGCCCACCCTCTCCTTTTTTCCCCCGTTTGAGTAGACAGCTGTGACTGCAGGCACGCCAGCCTGCCCTGGGAAGGGAAAGCTCTCCGCCCCCCTGGGTAGGTCCGCGGCTGCTTCACTCCTCTCTTCTCCCAGTCATCAGCTGCAGACTAGCAGGAGGTGTCGGGGTGAATCTGGAGGCAGCAGAGCCAGTGTAACCAGCTCTTTGTAAGCTCGGAGGGAGGCCCTGCCTCAGTGGTTTAGAATTGGGGTACTCGTTCTTGGTGCTCAAGTGGCATCAGAGCCTCCAGATTGGGACCACAGTTCAGGCCTGCTTAACCGTGAATACCATAACCATAGTTTTATTAACAGCGTTGTTAGGACAGATTCCATGAAGTGTTATTTTATGCCTCTAAATAAGCCATAAGCTTAATTGCTGCAGTCTGGATAGACGTTTATTTGTTGTACCATTTAAACCTCACTAACTAGTTTAATAGAACAGCCAAAAGCAATTTCGGATGTTATGTTACAAATGATCAATCTCTGTTGTTTCTAAGTTGAAACTAAAATAAAATGTGTATATGACATTATTGAAATTTAATTACGATAAAATAGGAGTTAATATGCCAGAACTTGGAGCTTATCCTTTAATTATCTATGTTAAAAATAGAACTGCCTAACTTACAGTGCCCCAATTCATGAGCAGTAAGCTTGTTTTGATAATGAAGAAAATGTCATTTTCCAAGTCAATCCTTACATTATACTTTTGGTTCTAAATAATAAAGGTCATTTGAAAATGGTTACTGTGTACCAAGTTAGCATTTGTTAGTTTAACATGAAAATTCTATTTTATGACTAAGAATAGCTTTTATATGAAAATATGTACATGTACATAGGCGTATTTAACCATTAAATATTGCTTGTCAGGGCAGTCATGGAAATGTCCTCTGTTCCAGTTTTTCTCAGATCTATTTCAGACCTAGGCATCTGTTACTATATTTATCTTTATCTTAATCAGCCCTTGCAGTGAGGTTTGGTTATTTTATTACAAGCAGCTGTGCAAAGCTTTTTCTTTTAAAAACGACATTCTTTTGTAGTGTGGCCATTCCTCACAGTTGACACGTCTCAGCAGCAAATGCCGAGCAAGTGAGCCGGAGGAAGTGCCCGACACCACTCTCTTCCATACCTTCGCAGAACTACTGTGCTGTCAGGGCAGTTTAGGTAGAAGGCATTACAAAGACGTGCCAGCAGAAGACAGAGTCAGTAACATGGGTTATTGCGCTTAGGTTATTTTGAACACGATGCTTCTTTCCTTCCACTGAGTTTGACTATTTTGAGGCCTGCTTACAATCTTGCCAACACTTAACTTAATCTGCTTTCATGCTGAGAGAAATCTAAACATATTAGTGTATATTTTTAGTGACTTTGTAAGATTATCAGACATCTAAAACCTCAAACCTGTGGCCCAAGTGGGAGCTTTGAGAATTTATAAGCCTTTTTAAGAACCTAAATTTAAACCTCATTCCAACCTCTGGGTGGCTGTTTGAAATGTTTTCAGTGCCAGGCTGTGAACACGTTCAGCTGACCTTGGAGCTTGTGGTCTGTGGCAGGCCCTAGGGCGGGACTTAGTTTGTTATTTCTTCCACCTCAAGCCTCAAAGGTAGATTACTCCCATATTAAAGATAGGCAAACTGAGCCTTAGAACCTCTTCTCAGGCCTCATAGGTAACTGAGAATATTTGATCCTTGGTCTATGGATTGCTCCATTCTATTGTTTAGAAGTTTTGTTCAAAGAAGAAAATAATCTTCACAGTGTAAACATTGTGTTGAAGGCACATAAATGGCTGCGACTCACGGCAGTTCTTTGTGTATTTACTGTATTGTATAATTTGCTATTTTTAGATCCCATCTTGAATGTTTATGTAATTTCATCTACTTGAAAGGCAGAGCAACAGAGAGACACAGAGGAACAAACACACACAGATCTTCCAAGTGCCTTCACAACCAGGACTGGGCCAGGCCAAAGCCAGGAGACTAGCACTCTCATCCCCGTCTCCCATATGGGCGGCAGAGACCCAAGCACTTGGGCCATTAGCAGGAGGCTGAATGGGAAGCGGAGTAGCCGGGACTTGAGTGGGCACTCTGACACGGGGCCTGCATGCTGCAGGTGGCGACTTACCCTGCGCTGCAGTGCTCGCCCTGATCCCCCGTTTCTTAGGGTTTCGAATTCATTCTTCTTTCTACTGCCACTGTCGTAATTCAGACTTCGGTTATCTGCTACTTGATCTAATCTAGCATCTTTGCCTAGACTCTGGGAATCTGTCCTCTCTTCAGTATGCTTCTGTGTGTGTGATTGCCAGGCTAATTTTAATTGAGACCTCCAGGTTCACGCGTTGCTTGCTAAGAGTTTGAGTTTGTTGCCAGCTCTGCCCCATCTATCTAGTAGCCACGCCCCCACTCGGCCAATTGAGGCTCCAGCTGTTTTTGAGAAGTCCTGTCTGTCCCAGTGCCCTCTCCCGTAGCCCTTTGTGCTGTTCCTCTTATTGTACCTAATGTTTTAGATCCCGAATTATACCTATCTAGGAAGCTCAGGGTCACAGAATAAGCTAATACACACCATCCGGGAATGCCCCTCCCACACTGCCATCTTCCCTGCATCTGATTGGTGTTCATGACAGTTTAAATTTACGTTATTAATGTGCTTTCTGTTAATTTATTGATGGGTAGATCTTTAAATATGCCAGAAAGGACATTAGTTTTATTTTCATTTTTATTGTTAGAAATACAGTTGTTTTCCCCTTTTTTAGCTTCCTTACTAGCCTTCTTATGTTAATCTCTTCTTACATATTTATAGTTTGTCTCCTTGAATCATGCTCTATTTCATATGATTAAAGTACAATTTGCATGCAGGAGCATTACTTGTCTTTGATATATAAGGATTCTCCTCTCTGCATAGTGAAGTAGTTAGATAACCTGGATGGACTAACCAGAAAAGAGGCTGTGAATGGTCATTCACAAGGAGCAGTCGGTGAAAGCCAGCTCTTCAGCAGACATGGAAGAAATCGGGCCCGAGCTGAGCAGAGCACTGGGGCGGCCAGGAGACCCAGCAAGCCAGAGCCCAAGAAGTAACGCTGGCAGCTTGGCTCTTCTTGGGGTTTCAGGCGTTGCCGCCAGATTGATCTCCTGCCTCCTCAGAGGTTCTGGGGAACATAACGTAATACAGAGGAAGATACCATTTATTAGCTTAACTTTTAGAAAATAAGCCATGTTGTATTGGTAAACATGAATCTCTGGTATCAGAATATCTGATAAATCTTCGAACGGTAATTATTTGTTGTCTTCATATTATACTGTGGAGAAAGCCCAGGTCTGTGTGTCCTGTTAAACCTGGGAATGGGAAATGGGAAATTAATTTTTCAAATTTCTCTTGAGTAGGAAGTTGCTTATCATGTGTAGTCTGAGGTTGAAGTGTGTTTATTAGACCCACACTTGCTTTTCATTTTGAATTTCTGAAAGATTGTAGAATCTCAGTGACCTTAATCATTCCAAGCAATGAAAGGACCTTGTTTAAGGAACTTTATGATACATTATTTTCTTCAGAGTAGTAGACTCTAGTCTGCTTTTTCAAGTTATAAATCATACGTTGAATTAAAAGGAAAAGATAAAAATTTAAATAAACCCACTAGTGTTAAAACTATTATACAAGCAGAATATTCCCTATTCTCATTAAGTGTACGTGTGTGCCAAGGTTACAGTAGTAAACTTGGCGAGGTTAAGAGATTTGTTGGGCACCTCCGTCTTAAAGGCCAGCATTCACAACTTTCTTTCTTTGTCCTAAGGGTTTCGTGATACCTTCATCCCAATTTAGTCATCACGTGCACGAATCTACCTCTAGCAGTGTCTTACTCTAATAGTGTACTTCAAGCACTTCTTTTGTTTTTATTTGTACTATCTGACTTCAGTAATCTGCGTGTCCCCTGCCTTTGTGCTCCTCCAGCCTGGTAGAGTTGGCACTCGCGGAGGAAAGC